ATAAGCGCCGAAGTACGTCGGGAAGAGCGCGAGGCGTGTAGGATCACGACGCTGTGTTGGCAGACCGTATACTGAGCCAGTGAGAAAGCTCAGGCGGGTTTTCGCAGATGCAAGTAAGCTGCTCTGACGCCATCGTAGAGCGAGTGGCAGGCGGTACGCGCCCAGCTGTACGGCGCGGCGGGACCGAACCGAATGAGCTAGGGGACGCCACAAAGGCGATGGTGAGCGGGCCGGTTTCTGCGTGGCTAAGCCCCTGGACCGTGGCTGAGACGTCGGCCGCGTGAGTGGCTGGAGAAAGGTTGTTAGGTCAATACCTAACGGTTACAGTGTAGGGCCTGGTGGTGCAGGTGTTAGTGCTCATTGGGCAATCGGTGGGTTCGATTCACGCTTCCTGCGCAATTGTTTTATTGTAATTACGCTAATTACATGTCTTAGACACACGGTGTCTTAGCCACGACCGTGTCTCAGCCAGGGCCGTGTCTCAGCCAGGCCCCAAGGCGCTTAGTGGATCCGGGCGCTTATGAACGTCTAAGCCGGTGTGGCTAGTCCGGTGTAACATAATAAGTTCCCGTGTCTAGGCCGCCGAACTGAAACTCTTGCCGGATGCCCACGAACGTCCCACGAACGTGGAAGTACTCTTCTGCTCCATGCATGCCCAGACCTGCCGCTGCACATTCCAGCTTTTTTTCTGCTGGAATATTCGCCTCGCACACTCAGAGAGAAGATATGCCGCCCCGACACGTTTGCAGCCCGGAACGTCAGTACTGCCATTGTCAACATGCGCGCGACCAGCTCGTTGACAGTTGCTATCCAGATCTCTGTCGTCTCCGCCACAGAGCGTACGCGCAAGTGTCGAGATATCGCGTCGCGTGCTGGCTGGCGGAGATCTTCCCGCCGGCTCGCGAACGGCCAAGTCCGAGAGCCTGTCCTTGCCGTTGAGTTCGCCGATGTGTCTATCGATGCGAGCCGAGTTGAGGAGCTTAAGGTCTTGGTCGCAGGACTCCGAGGCTCAGTTACAACGTCAAAACGGTCCAGCGCGGACCCAACACCAGCGCTAGCTACTGTGGCACCTGGAAAGTCAGTGCCGCCGCTACCAGCCTTTGCGCGACTCATTGGCTGACGTGGGCTACCTCAATCTCTAGACTCCAGGCCCTCGGCTGTGCGAAAGAATCCTTTCTTGAGCCTGAGGTGCCCTTGCACGAGAGCTGGGGCGGTGCTGGCATATGGGATCTCTGAGCCGTTCTGCGGCTTAGCGTTGCGCAGATCCTGGTGCGCCTTTGCTGAGGACACCATATTCAATTTATGACACCTGCCGTTGAGAGCCACGACCGGCGTCACTCGGATGCGCGCCATGTCCGATACTTCGCGGTCGCCGAGATATATCATGTTCTCGGCGCAGTCTTCTACGCACTTGCCTGTCGCTGATCCAGACCCCCCGCGCGTGGCGGAGGGCACGCGTGTTGACGCGTTCACACGAGATGTCAGAAGGTGACGTGCCTTGACAGCCGCTCAAGTACTGGAGCGCTGGCTCTCGCTGCTTCCTCGCAGACAATGAACGTAACCGCACTGAAGGAGCGCCATGTGACTAGCGATTATCCTATGACACAGGTTGCGGGGCTGTCACGTTTGCCGGACACTTCGGAAGCGTGATTGCCACAGATGCCTGAGGCGGCGGAAATGAAGCAAATACTGCAAGGTCATGTCCTTGTGAACGCTGTACCCACGAGGCAGTGGCCGTGCGCTACCGTGATATAGTGCTGTAAGTGCGTCGCCCACCGCCCGCCCGCATACACCACACTTGTACTCACATTCTCGTCTCCTTTGCGCCCGTATCTTCACTCCTGAAGATGTCACGCGCTACAGGAGCCGATTTACCGTTGGAAATGCTGTCATCCATCTTGAATTGTCTCTTGCCAGACCTTGGTACTGATCGGAAATACTCCCTACGGGCACAGAACGTGAAGCGCGGGGTCGTTGCGCCTAGCCTCGTATGCAAGCATTGGGCGAAAGCGATCAGACCTATCCTCTTCCGACAACTCATCTTGCGCAATGCAGAAGATGTACAGTTCCTGAAGAACATCGTCTACAGCCCCCACTTCACGACCTCATCTCTGTCCGGGGCCATCAAATTCATACACATCTATTATGAAGCTGCGAAGGGGAAACCATGGTTTCACCACGTCCATGGGCTTTCGACCAGGCTCCGCGGCGCAACATTCCAATGCATTGTCACGAGCCGCGCACAAGATCCTGGATCGACGGTCGCCGCTTGGATCCCATTCAAATCGATCCCGAGAGTCACCCCATCCTACGTCCGACTCTCTGCCCTCGCTCTGCAGAACCTCACGTTGACGAACACGACCGAGCTCGCACGGCTCGTTGACAGCCTCTCCACGCTCGAGCGCTGCGACTGCAACGGACTCACCTTCCTTGATCCATCACCGGTTGTCCAGTCACGCAGATTTGGAGCTCGTCGACGTGCTTCATCGGCCCTCTCCTCCTTTGAGATAAAGCATCCTAAGAATACGGCGGTCTCCCTCCAAGCAGTGCTGGCTGCTGATATCCTCGAGCCTGGTCGTCGGATGGGCCTTGACGACCGTACATGGGACGCAGCCTTTCAGCTTGCGTTGGCACTAAAGGAATCCGAGGTCGCGGGTGTGACACTCAAGCGTGGGAACGGCGATATGTTTGGTATGTCTTCTAATCCATGGAAATCATGCGAAGCTTACTAGCTACTCCTCATCAGACATGGCGACAATCTCTTGCTCCTCAGGTCGCTATTCTTATTTGGCCTTTGGGCGCAATTCTATCAATGTCGACATTAAGGTTTGCCGACCAAATGCGGACCAGGGTGCAGGGTCTCCACTCGCACATATCGAGAGCATCACTCTGCGCCTCTCATCGAGCGATCTCGAGGTCGCGAACACTCTCCCTTGGGATGGCTTGCGACCCGTGGTTGACTCCCCGCACATGCATCGCCTTTGTATTGCAGATGGCATGCTGCCCCACCAAAGCTACGAAGCCACGAAGAGGATCTTGTGCTCCGTGTTGCGCCGCACGCAGCTGACCTGGGCTCTCGAGTCGCGCAAACTGCAGTTCAGCAATTTTGATCACAGCATCACGAGTGAAGACATCTTGTCCGTACCGACGGAGCACACCATCGACGGCACCACAATCACTCTCGACATCGCCGAACAAGCCGAGTGGTTGCTGCCCGCGTCGCGTCCCGGGCTCTCTGACATTGACGCTACAAGGAATCAGTACCTACGGAGGCTCGTAGCCACACGCACGAGCAGAGCGTCCATCGTGACGGACACGAGCTCGGGAATTGCGCGATCCACCGCAGATAGCACTCAACACACGGTGGCGCTCGAGCAGGCTGCGGAGGTGCCGGAGGCTGATGTGCAGGGGAGCGAAGCGTATGAGGGAGGGGGGAGCGGCGGCGGAAATGGAAAGGTCGGGCCGTGGACGAAGGACGAGCACGGACGTTGGGCACTAGCGGAGCATGCTGTCGGGCGGGCGAGCGGGCTTTGGGACATGGATGAGTTGCGGGCAAATTGAGGATGATGCGGAAATCAGAGAAGAACAGGATCTGGAACCAGAGGACACTCCGCATAGTCCTACCTGGATGTGGGGACATATGATGTTGGAGGCTGTATTCATTGAGACAGCATTGCTGCGAGCTTATCGGCCTAGCTATACACATCACTAGAATCGTGCCCTATGTTAGCAGTCTTAAGGTAACACAAGGCAATGTGACACTGGTACAGCCCCGATAGCACAGCTATCTTCGCGTGTTCATCTGATTCTGCAACATGCATATCTCTATAGAAGACGAAAATCGAGAATACAATGAGAGCCATGTGCCATAATATTCGGCTCCGACTACTCAGGCATAACCCTGACGCAAGGATAGGACGCATCGGAATAGCACGATGCTACACAACCATGTGGACTTCAGCTCATCCCCGTCAACGATCTCCTGCTTCTTCGCAACCAGCGCCTCCACGACCCATCGAGGGTCCACTCGACAAGCCAGTCGTAGCGTTCCCGGACGAGCCACACGATCTTGTTGTACGTGACCAGCTCGGGCATGTCGACGAGCACGCCCTGAGCGCCGTAATCGACATTCACGAACTCAGCGAAGCGCAGCACCGCGAGCTTCGACGTCTGCCAAGGGAACGGTAGTGGTCAGACAAAACTTGTGCAAGCGCTGCATTACACAGGCTTACCGAATACACAGAGTACCGCGGGCCGAAGGTGTGCGCGTCGGTGCGGGAGACATTGACCATCCTGTCGCCTGCGCACCTGTCGAAGGGTTGGGAGGAAGGCGCGCTTAAGCCGTACGTCTCGCGGACGATGATCCCCCAGATTTTTCGCCACTTCTCGGGGTCGCTGTCCGTGATGCGGCTGCGTTAGAGGTAGCCCGCACTGTTGACGTTGACGTCGACGCGTCCGAACGTCGCCTCGGCACGCGCGGCCGCGGCGGCGATCCAGTCGGTGTTGGTGACGTCCGACGCGATGGCGAGCACCTCGAGCGGACGGCTGCAAGGGCGACGATGCACTGCTGCTTAACGATGTCCAGGCTCGAGCGCGCGAGTAGGACGAGGCCCTTCGCGCCTGCTTAGACCACCGCGAGGGCGATTGCGCAGCCAATGCCCTTGGAGATTCAGGTGACGAGAACGACCTTGCCACTAAGATCCGCGTACTGAGGGTCCACGGCGGGGTAGGTGTTGTGTTTATCGAGGGTGATTAGCTCGGCATTCTAGAAGCTCGAAGTCATATCAAAGCCAGAATGTGCTGACTTGTACCAACTTACCGTTACATCCAACCATTTCCGGGTCGAATTATGTTGAAGTTGAGGCAGCCGCTGTACATACGCAGTGCTTCCGCATTCAGGCTGGTGCGTACGCCCTGCAGTATTGTTCGTCCTCCCACCGCTCGATGCTACTCCCGTCCATGTGCGGCCCGGGCATGAACTGAGGCGGGCATGGGGGCCAGATTCCAGTGCACAGACGGTCGAAGTATGAGATGGGGGTGTAGAGGGAGACAGGCGTCATTGGCGAGAAGCGACTCGTGCGTCCCTGATGACGTGTGGGTGAGATCGCGCCTGGATATAGACAGGGCTTCCGTACAGCTCGTAGAACATGATGCTCGCTGCCGGAGACCCTACATGCACAACGCTTCATACTGAGGTCGCAGAACGTAGAACGACAAGCTACACACCTCTGATATTCGCCTTGTTCGCAGCGATGTATTTGCGCATAACGCGGTCCCAGTCGTGGGCCTCCGCTTCCGGCGCAGCACCGCGGATAATAGCACATCCCGACGGCTTCACGCCTTCGATTTCAGGTGCGGACAGCCCTGAGCTGAGCGACGAGTACGGAACACCAGGTACGCTCTGCAGCCGGTTAGCATCGTAGCTCGTAGGATATAGCGACGGAACGGACCTGACTCCCGCAAGCTATCATGTTCTCGGTGACACCCTCCAGCTCCCTCAGCACCCTCCTCCAACTTTCAACAAGGTCGTCGGTCCACAGTTGCCGCTTGAAGTGTGCGAATCGTTCGGGAAATGGAGACGATTCGTGGAATGAGCTGAATATCTCTAATATCGTGCCCTCGCTGCTCTTGTTCTGGAGAGCGGCACCGGTTGATGCCGGTCTGCGGTGCTGAGATGCCTTGAAGGCCAGGTGTCTGCACAAGGCCGAAGGAGCTCCGCAGCGAAGGAAGATTTCTACGCGTCGGTCTGTACACGAGAGCAAGGGCGGAAGTAGGAGTCGCCAACTAGGAGCTGTATTTAAGGTTAGGTAGGGTCATGACTAGCCTTGTTTTCCCTGCAAGGCAGAAGTACACCGCAGAACTGACCTGCTGACCTCACGCTATCGCAATCGCATCACCTCTACGCTTCAAGGTTCCCGCACGCGTAAGGCGATCTTGACCATGCGAGGTCGGCTTCTGCGTTCGACCTATTTCCCGCCATTATGACAAATTTATGTTGGGCCAATGCTGCTGAAGAAGTCGGGTGTGCATAAGAGTTCAAACAGCGATGAGGGTCACGTCGAAACACGCCCGGAAATGCCACTCAGCGGACGCGACAGGGACTTAATCCGAGAATACGCCGGGCGCGCCGCAACGTTGTTTCCAAACTTGACACAAGCTTTTATGAAAGTACGTCCCTAAGTACAACTAAGCTGCTAGTAATTGTACTACGACTGGGATTGATAGAGCTTGTGGAACTGCAGCAGGAAAAAGCCATCAGCGGACGAGCCAAGCTCGCGACCGCTTTCGAGACGCCTATAAATCACTGGCAGACAGCTGAGGAAGACTGGGCCAGCGAAGCGTCAGATACAAACGGAGGTGCTATCGTCTTCGTGGCACTCGGCGTGATCAATCAGCATGGCCGCCCGGCTCATCTCAAAGCGAAGGCACCATCCGCTAGTATTCGTCCCTGCCAGGAACCGCCTTGCCGCGTGGCATTTCCTGTACCGATCGCGCAGAACCCCCACCCCACTATCGAGCTCGGCTGAGTCGGCCGCGGCCTCGCATGTGTCCTGAGCTACATGAAAGCCCCTGCCGCCAATACACGAAGAAAGAATGGCGCCGCGATGTCGAGCTTTTGTCCGTCACATGCAGCGAGGCCTCAGAATGTGAGTATGCGTTTGGCGTGCCGTCCAACGTACTACTGCCAGTACACTCGCAAATGCAGATACTCTGCCTTCGTCCTGATCGCGAAATTTCTTGCCGGATTTCTCGCAGATGCTTTCCCCGTATTACCAGAGTATGAACTCGCCCGCCGAGCCTGTCAGCCAGGCCCGAATAATATAACGTGAGCATTCGTTTCGCGCTGGTGGTCCAGATGTCTGCCGACCTCCCGCGAATGCAGCGCTTCTTGGCTTTGCGGACATCCAGCTCTATTGCAGTACGTTGCGGTCTATTCTCTGGTGAGTATTCGCTTCGCACATTCAGAGATACATATACTGTCTTCGGCCGAGTCCCGGCAGACGTGCATATGCCGTCCCGGCTTTGGCCTAAGGCGATGACTAGTGACTACCCTTGCATGAGAGGCGAGACGATGCCGGCTGGGCGATGCAGACATATGAGGGTTCTGAACCGTGCTGCCGCTCGGAATTGCACAGGTCCTGGCATGCCGATGGCACATACAGTCTATGGCACCTGCCGTCGAGGAATGTGATCAGCGTTACTTACTCGGATGTATGCCACGCACTGACGCTTCGCGGCCGCCAGGATGCGCGATCTCGGAGCGTTGCGGGAATCTTCACATGGACTCGCGGGCGATCGTCGATGTATCTGACAAGGCGCAGTCTTCTGCGCACGATTCCTGTCGCTAGCCCACCAGCGGCGGAAGGCGCGCGTGTTTGCGCGTTCACACGGAAAGCCAGAAGATGACAGCCGCCGACTCAGAAGCACCAGGGCACTGAAGCTCGCTGCTTCGTGGCATACAATGGACATCGTCACTGCACGGAAGAGGTGCCGTGCGATAAATGAATATCCTATGCAACAGGCTGTGGAGCTGTCATATTTGGGACCGCCGGACACTTCGGAGGCGTGACTGCCACAGATACCAAAGGCGGCGGAAAAGAAGCAAACACTGCAAGGTCATGTCCTTGTGAACGTTGCACCCACGAGGCAGTGGCGTCATGCGCTGCTGTGATATAGTGCTGTAGGTGCGTCACCCACCGTCCGCCTGCATACACCACGCTCATAATCACATTCTCGTCTCCTTTGCGTCCGTTTCACCACCCCAGAAGATGTCGCGCGCTGCAGGAGCCAGTTTACCATCCGAAACACTGTCGGCCATCTTGAATTGCCTCTTTCCAGGCCTTGAGCCTCATGAATATGTCTACTATTCACGCGAAGTGAAGGGCGGACTCGCTGCGGCTAGCCTCGTATGCAAGCATTGGATGCAAGCGATCAGACCTATCCTCTTCCGACGACTCGATTTGCGCAGGGCAGAAGATGTACGATTCCTGAAGAACATCGTCTACGGCTCCCAGTTCGCGACCTCGTCTCTGTCCGGGGCCATCAAGCTAATACAGATTAATCAAGAGGCTACGGAGGCGAAACCCTGGCTTCACCACGTCCATGGGCTTCCAACCCGACTCCGCGACACAACATTTGTCTGCACTGCTATGAGCAGTGCACAAGATCCTGCATTGATGGTCGTCGGCTGGGCCCCATTCAAATCGATACCGAGAGTCACCCCATCCTATATCCGACTCTTTACCCTCACTCTGAGGGGACTAACGTTGAAGAGCACGACCGAACTCGCACGGATCGTTGACAGCTCCCCCACCCTCGAGCGCTGCAGCTGCAGCGAACCTTCCTTGATCCATCGCCAGTTGACCATTCACGCAGAGTTCGTCGACGTGCTCCATCGTCCCTCTCCTCCTGCAAGATATGGCAGCGTAAAGATACGGCGGTTTCCCTCCAAGCAGTGCTGGTTGCTGATATCCTCGAGCCTGGTCGTTGGATGGGCCTTGACCACCGTACATGGGACGCAGCCTTTCAGCGTGCGTTGGTACTCGATGAATCCGACTTCGCGCATGTGGAACTCCAGTGTCGGAACGGCGGTATATTTTGTATGTCTTTCGATCCATGCAAATCATGCGAATCTTGCTAGCTACTTTTCATCAGACATGGCGAGAATCTCAAACTCTTCCCGTCCCTCTATGCACAATTCTATCGAAGCCATCATTGAGGTTTGCCGACCAAATGCTCTCGATATGTGCGAGTGGAGGCCCCGCACCCTGGCAGGGTACAGGGTCTCCACTCGCACATATCGAGAGCATCACTCCGGTCCTCTCATTGAAGGATGTCGAGCTCGCGGACACTATCCTTTGGGACGGCTTGCGAGCCGTGGCAGACTCCCCGCACATGCATCGTCTTTGTATTAAGGTTGGCCTGAACCACCCACTGAGCCACGAAGTCTCGAAGAGGATCCTGTGCTCCGTGTTGCGCCGCACGCAATTGACCTGGGCTCTCGAATCGGGCAAACTGCAGTTCGGTAGCAGCATCACGAGTGAAGACATCTTGTCCGTACCCGACGGAGCACACCATCGACGGCACCACAATCACTCTCGACATCGCCGAACAGGCCGAGTGGCTGCTACCCGCGTTGCATTCCAAGTTCTCTGACATTAACGATGCAAGGGAGGAGTACCTACGGAACCTCGTGGCCACACGCACAAGTGGAGCGTCCACCGTGACGGACACGGGCTCGGAAATCGTGCGATCCACCGCAGATAGCACTCGGCACACGGCGGCGCTCGAGCAGGCTGCGGAGGTGCCGGAGGCTGATGTGCAGGGGAGCGAAGAGTATGAGGGAGGGGAAAGCGATGTAGACGGAGAGGACCCGCAGGCGAAGACTTAGGACGAGCACGGACGTTGCCCGTAGGCGCTAGCGGGGCATTCTGTCGGGCGGGCGAACGGGCTTTGGGTCACGGGTGAGTTGTGGGTGAATTGAAGATGATGTGGAAATCGGGGAAGAGCAGGGTTTGGAACCAGAGGACACTGCGCATAGTCCTCCCAGGATGTGGGGGGAGGATGATTTCGGACGATTATATTGATTGAGATGGCGCCGCCACGAGCTTATTGGTCTAGCTATACACGGACGTGTGTCATTCAGCCCAAGTAAGAATAGCAATGCACTGCTACTAATGGAATGCACATCAGCTACAAGGCCCACATGTGAAAAAATCTGATGCTATTTCACTTATCCGCAGCGGACGAACATCTGTAAGATTCAGCAACGCCTTCAAGAGTGAGTTCTATCTTCAATTTTTTATAATGACTAGACACCACACGCAGCGAACTCCGGATGACATTTCAGTACAGGCGACTCTGACTTTCGCTCTCTGGCAGGGCGCTCATTGTATAGGTTTTTCGAAATCTCAGTGGATTATATTTGAGCGACATCCTGTTCCGGGACCCCCATATCAGTATGGTCATGGCTGACGGCATCCACTTAACCGTGACCCGGACGCACGCACTAGACGTCAACATCTCAGTCGAAGAAGTCACACGCTGCGTCTGGGCTTGACACGCCACTACTCGCCACGTACTGCCGCCCTCACGCGGATGGGACTCGGCGTGCACTTGGTTCCGACTCGGAGCTCTAAGGTATCGTGCTAGCAGAAATTTGAAACCACAAAAAGCGAGCATGCCATGAAGTTGGAACGCCGTCTATAAAACATGCTGACACTTCAACAATGCAGAAACTCTCCGTCTCGATATTGAAGTTTCTCGACGGTGTTTATTTCAAGAGTACCTGCTCTCCATCACCATTGGAGTGATGATCTCGCTGGCTGGACTTGTCAGCTAGACCCGAATAACAGAATGTGAGCATCCGCTTTGCACTGGTGGTCCAGATGCATACTGATCTCCCGCGAGTGCAGTGCTCCTCGACTTCGCGGACGCTCAGACCTGCTCAGGCTGCAGCACGTCGTAGTTTATTCTCTGGTGAGTACTTGTTCCGCATATAAAATAGAAAAAGCTGCTATCTCCAGACCCGCGAACCCCGGCTGGCCGTCAGTAGAGCAATCAGCTTCCGTCTATCGCAATACGATGTACCGTTATGACTGCAGGGTTCGTTCTGGTGCTGGATATGCGCGAGCCGCGGGCCACGAATGCCAAGTCGAAGGTCGGTGCAGTGGCCGTTGGTGGCACGCTCGCTGAGTCTGTCGCCAAATTGCGACATATGGTGCCGGCAGAGATCTCCGCGCCAGCTCGCGGGCGACGCCGCCATGTCCGCCGGCCTGTGCTTGCTGTTGAGCTCGCCGGCGTGGCTATTGACGCGAGATGAGCTGGGGCGGTAGGTCACGGGAGGCTCAAATACGACATCGAAACGTTCCAGCACGCTGAGGAAGTCCCAATGCAGGTATTACCCGGAGGTGTTAACAGTGCTGCAGCTCGGTGACGGTATGAGACAGGCGAGCAGAGGTGGCCATCGTGGAACGCGGTGCTCACCTCGTGAGCTTCGACTCTCTTGGTGTTGACGATCTGCGCGCCGTTCGGTTCGTTCCCTATATGAATCCACAAGAGTTAGACTTGTGAAAGAACATTCAATACGTATGCCGATATCAGCTTCGACATATCAGATGAACGCCGCGCTGCGGCAGCAAATTTTCGATGGCTTTCGGCACGCCGCGTTACGCGACGTATATCACGCGACAAGAGGGACAAAGTTGTATACAGAAGGAAACAGAGATGAATAAATACATACGAGGCCCCATAAATATCATGGCTGCAGATATAACCAGTGCCAGATCAGACCGTGCGTCGTTGGGCCTTGGCCATCATGTCAGGCCCCTCGTAATAAGGCTGAAACAGGTCCCTCCACACCCAGTCCGAAGCTCTGTACCCATATTATCAGCATAAAGTACAATGTGTATAACAATGGACGGGTCATACCCAACGCCATCGAGTTTCATGTCATAACGGCGGAACAGGTTCGCCATACTCATGTACAATTCACACCACCCGAGGCTGAAGAACGATTTCAGCGCGCTGAGCGACATGTGTTATAGATAACTTACTTGATACCGAGGCAGCTGCGAGGGCCTTTTGAGAACGCGACCAGCCAAATATCCAGGTCAGCCTTGGCGTCAAGCCAGCGTTCGGGTTTAAAGGCGTGGGCATCTGGGAAGATGTCTTCGCTCCAGTGAACAAAAATATTGCTTATGCCAACAATACTCTATTCCTAGTAAGCAGGTGAAAAAAGCAGCGGAGGATGAAATGGTGCTCACACCGCCGGGGATGAAGTGCCCAGAGATCTGCGCGCCTTTCTTGGGAACGACGCGCGTCATAGGCTGCACGACCCCATGACTGGTGCGCAGACTCTCTTTGAGTACTGCCGTCTACGTAGAAAACGGTAAGTGATCATAGCTCCGAGCCACTGGCGCGGCAACGTACCAGGTAGGGAAGCTTCTCCAGCTGCTCAAAACGCGGAACATCGTCGAGGTCGGGCCACGCCTCGACAAGCTCCTTCTGCAGCTTCGCGTGGATTTCCGGGTTGGACAGAACATGAAGTGTGCCTACAGCGAGGGCAGTGGCTACCGTGTCTGCGCCAGCGTTCACGAAGAGCACGGCCTATCGCGTAGGGATCCATCAGAGGGGACGTTCTTAGGGTCTTTTAGGAACTCGTGATAAATCGTAAGCCGATGATAGTCTGCCAGCACTTGCGGATCGGCCTTGACTTCCTGGACCTGGTCTGTAAGCATCTGCTCGTAAAAATTAGTACCGCAATCGTAGAAAACAGACGACGGTGAACGCATGTATTAAACTTACGCATTTTCACGAGCCCGTCTAAATCCGGTCGGAGTCTGGCAAGGAGAGGAGGAGGTATGGCGTTTATGAGCTTCTGAACAATCGGGAAATGCTTTAACACCATTGAGATTGGAATTGAAGCATGGATAGCAGTGGTGACGGGCGCGTTAAACCCCGGTTCACTGGTCGTGTTCATGCTACGTGCGAAGCACATGGTGAAGATGATATCGACCGCACAGCAGCGGAAAGCTTTGTAGAAATTGATAGACTTGTCCTCTTTGATATGCTTGTCGATGTTCTCGCAAGCCGTGTCCAGCTACCGAGTCACATTAGCGATCATTAATGACCTCAAAACAGCCGTGCATACACATTGTTGGATCAGGTACTGCATATCAACGACATTTTTGCGAGAGAAGAGCGAGGAGGTAATGTCTCTTCGCTTCTTCGCCCTTGGATAGTCAGGAATAGTAAGCGTAGACTCTTCCTCCGCGAAATAGTGGTACAATTTCATGTTCCTGTCCCACTGATTCTTGAAAGTGTAAATCTCATGATATGCAGAGGGCTCTGCGAAGTGGAGCTGCACACCATTTGCGTAAGTCAGGTGGAGGCGTGAGGGCAAGAATCATACCTCGTCTGGGCCGATCCGAACAATGCTACCTGCCGGATACAATTGGATTTATATTACATGCTGAAATCTGCTCGCACTCACCGAACTGCTCGTGCAATTTGATAAGCTTCTTCGAGAGACTCTCTTCCTTGATCACCTCGATGTACACTTGCCACCAGTCGCAAGCAGCGGCAAACTTTGGCCCTGGGAACACTGCCAAAGGGTGAAAGTATAGGTTGTACACGGCTTTGACAGCACCGTACAATACCCACGAGAGGAGTAGCCATGGCACCCCTTTCCAAGCAAGAGAGAGAAAGTCAAGCGATAAGTCAAGCATTGTGGCCACAGAACAGAAGACAAACCTCGAACAGCTCCTTCATAAGAGATCACCTCGAGTCCGAATTGCTTCCATGACATTCGTTTGTCTTGGATTTAGATTCCTGAAAGCCTGAGGCCTGAAGCCCGACCAGAGATGTGAAACCTGTAAGGGTCGCTTCCTCATGTAACGACAATCTTGGCGGAGCATCAGCGCGCGCCCGCTTCGCCGGCATGGCTTAGTGTTTCAAACTCCTCCTTGACCCCAACAGTTCAAACATCCCGTGACGCGTGACATTTGAAGCCCCAGATGCGCACGTGACTACTATCCAATCAGATTGTGCGCAGCTTCGCAAGCGTGCGCCTCCTATAGCAGCGCCCAAAGGAAAGGTCCCTGTGACCGTGACAGGCAGTTTCAACCTCGACGGTTCGATCTGTTCAAAGGGTTTGTGGCCGTAACGTGAACTGTTGGTCGTAGTAGCGGTACAGTAACTTATTTCTTTTATGGCTCCATTTTAGGTCTTCCTTTTGGCCTAGGGTGGGAATTCCGGCATATTCATTGGAGTGTAAATGCATGGGTGCACAGTAGCATCCCGAAAATCGAGACCTTCGCCACTGCGGACTCTCTCTCCCTTTCGAGCTCTGTTGGTTTAACAAATAACCACAGACACCAGTTATTCGCTTCGCCGAGCGCTGATCTAAGCCGAACCTTGCAAAACTGCCGTTTCATCGGTCTGCCGGACGTTTCAGTTTCTTTAACAGATCATGCATGCGCGGAGACATGCAGCCCCAGACATAATAGCACGCGGGAGAGAACAGGAGCAGCAGTGTACAGTGGTGATGGACAATCACCGGTTGCCAATGGCATTTGTAGTCAAACGTCCGGAACCGAGACTACGTCAAACAGACGGGCATTCGGCATTTGGGAGCTTCCGATTACTAGTGCTCACCAGCACTTTAAGTACGAGCACTGCTCAATTCTGTTACAGCCATCCACCACTCCTTGAGGCCCTCAGATTCCCCGTGCTCGACAGGCATGTTTTTCTGCTAAACATATCGCGCTAAAGCTTTGTACAACTTACATAGCACACCTTTAACATACTCTGGAAACTAACAGTACCGGTAGAGGTCTGTGTGAATGGGAGGGATCCCGCACGTTCGATGGTCAATTTTCGCCCCAGTCACGCGTATGGAAAGCTGCAAGACTGCGTTCAGGTACCTGTCTACGACGTTGCAATTGATCTGCGTGACTTGTAACCAAAGGCACCTGTGTGGCTTAAGTCGAGCGTAGACCGCGCGGAGCAGGCTTACATCTAGCTATGAGTTGACCGGCCTGTGTACGCACGAATCATGACTCATCGCATGATGCAATCGCTGAGGAAAAATCGCGTACGGTCGCCTTCATAGTTGTTGATTTGAATGTACCGGGCTAGTCATTTTTTACCTCAGACAAAGAATCACCGCAAAAGCAGGAGGTAAGCCCAGAAGCACACAATATGATGATGATAATATCGGCTTGGTAGCGCTGAAGATGAGAGCACTTGGCCCGGCCAGGCTCGACTTCTGGTAAATATACCCGCGGATGGCTCCTGAAGGGTACGTCAAGATTATATCATACACTACGCTAAACTATGGTATACACAACAAAAGATATAGGGGTATCGCTATAAGACAGGAACAGTAAAAGTGAAAGAGAAAACAAGGGGCGATTATCATAGTACATAACGGTTACATCGAAAAGAGGAAGGATAGGCAACCAGATCGAAACGAATTGCCTACGATGATTACTGACCGGACGACCCGCCCGCAACCAACTCGCTCTCGAACTTCTCCAGGACGCCATCATCATCAATCCGCGCACACGCTTTTGCAGCCTGTGTGCTCGCGCTCGACGAACCAGTCCCCGCTTTTGGCTGCCACGTGCCGCAGCCCTCGTCCCTAACGATAGCTGCCATGGCGTCCAGAGACGGTGCAGACGCGATGGAGGAGTGCACCACGGTGACCGCCGTCGTTGACTCCGCTTTGGTCGGCGAGCCCACGACGGTCTCGAGGTTGCGCGGGCGGCCGACGGTGGAAAGACGCTGGAGGGGCGAGGCGGAGCAGCGCCGTGCGAGGATGGACTGCTGACGCGCGACGCCAGGTGAATGCGAAGGAGACGCCGTGCTGGGGCCGTCACCTTGAACTGGCGGCTCTGCGAACCGAGTGCGCTTCTGACGTCCTGGGGCCGAGGTGAACGGGCTTGCAGACCTGGCTCGCTTGTGGTCGCTACCATCAGGGCTAGTGGAATGAGCGTTCGACTGGAAGCTGTTCGATCGCCGAAGTTCGTTCTGAACCACAGTGGCGAATGAAGGGAAACGAGGCAGAGAGTGACGAGCTTTGCGGTTCCGGGGCGTGGAAGGGGTACTGGTTTGTTCATCAATACTTGTCTTAGGCCGGGACGATGTCCTGCAAGGAAGGCGTTAATGCAGACACTACGCCAACGGTGAGCTCACTTACCCTGCAGACGGATGGTTCGGATCTCGCCTTAGAGGCGGGACAGGGCGTGTATACTCTGCTTTGAAGTCTACTCCATTGACATTGACATCCGGCCCACTCCGATTCCTGTTGACTTCCAAGAACTTCGGTAAGTTTAGTCGATTGCCTGTCGGAGAGCATTTATCCTCAGGATTCGCAGTGATCACTCGACCCCAAGGCTCGATCCCGGTGCCTGTAACTTCCGCATACGACATCTGGTCTTTGATATACCTGAAGGACACATTAGCGCAAACCCAAACAATGGAAAATACGACTCACGGTACGTAAGCGCGCAGAAATGCCGTCTTCGTCAAGCCGTACTTCGAGAGGTGGAACCCGCCGATCGAATGCCTACGTCTGAGCTCGTGAGCCGTCGCCAGTTTCAGCGCAGCCCGTTCGCCTTCAAGAACATAGTCCATTTCAGCCCGTGGGATGAACCGAAGGTGGCTGCGATTGTGAGTGATGAAGCCCATCCGCGCCGCAATAGACGGGAAGCAGCCTTGGAGCTCAGGCGACGTAAGCGGAAACCGCTTGTCCGCCTCCGCAGGAACAACAGGGCAGCGGGGATCCTTGAAGATGTCCAGTCGCGCCCTCGTGGCAGAAAGCTTGGGGGTAGGGTCAACCTCCGAACGAATCCATTCGCGGTCGCTGAACAGAGGCGGCTCCGACAGAGCCCGACGGCGCTCATTTCTGAACAAGGATCGCGTCCGCGCATTAGGTGAGGAGCAAAAAAGATCATCTGCGTTGGGCATACGCTCAAATGCGTTCAACGGCGCAGCAGGGGAGGGGTCAGGGAAATGAATGGAGAGGCGATAGTCGTGGATGAAGGTCATCTGCTTCTGCTCCGACTCGTTTACTTGGTCATCCTGAAAGCCCATGTAGCACTTGACAGTGGTCCAGTCCTGCGCCGTCATCGGCTCGTCGATAAGATCGCTAAGATCGCTCTTTGGCGTCACCAGGGACCAGTCAGAGGGCATATAGTCAGAAATCTCCTCTATAGGGTCTGTCGGTGCCGTCGTCGATTCTTGGGTGACTTTGGAGGCGGAAGAAGTACTGAGTGCAACGTGCGGGTCGGCTGTCGCCTTAGCTAGCTTCGTAGGGGCACCGTCGGTAGGGCCAGCTGTGAGAGGGATCCGAACCGTAACTTCGTCGCAGGCGGGCTGTTGGTCATTGGAAGCACAGCTATCGTCTTTGGCCGCATGATCCGCAGTGACTGCGGGACATACCCTAGAAAGATGCAAAGGGTCGTCTCCAATGTCGAGGGTATCGTCCTCGAGCTCTATGATAGGAAGACGAGCGCATATAGTCGGGCCCCCAGAGGTAGAAGTACCATTTGCTAGAGAAGGACCGGCATCTTCGTCATTCGAAACTGCAGTGGAAAATGCGCCAACGCCATGTGCGAGTACAGGAGGGGGCGGATCACCGCTTGGCCCCAGTGAGACCATGGAAACGTCCACGACGACCTCAGCAACCGAGTCGGCAGGTGTTATGAGACCAGCAGACTGCAGCACTTCGTCAGACAAAGATTCCTCGAGGTTTTCGTCCATCAGCTGAGTTGCCAGATCCGAAGAGGCAGCCGCAAGAGGTTCCAAGACATCGAACGAAGGCGCAGCCGAAGGAACGCTCTGGATGTTGGTAGCAGTCGGTGTACGCAGAGAGATGCGTCCTAAATCGTCTTTGGCTGTCGAAGGTGGAACAGACGGGCACCTATCGGAGTTCTTCGAGATAGGAGGACGAAGGGAGACCTCGAAAGGCGAATCAAGATCGTCAGCCGGGAGCGTCGTGGGGTCTGTGAAAACCATGGGGGCAAGATCCATTGCATCATCTCCAATGTTCGGCGCAGGGTCTTCAGGCTCAATCGCGAGCACAGAATTGCTAGTGTCCAAAGCATTAGACGACGTCTGGGCGGCCGTGGCGTCCTCCAGTAACGGTGTGGTATGCAAGCCCGAGTTGAGGTCTTCGATATTGCCGAAAGCCAAATGGGTAAGCGACCTGTTCCTCTGGAATGGAACGTCCTTGGCAGAAACATCAAGAGCTTGCTGTCCGACGTCGTCCACAGCAGGCAACAACTCCTGCAAGACGAACCAGAGAACAAGAACAGATAGAATCGTGATGACCAACGGAACGAGAGGCGTCAGAGATATCTCAGGGAGATCCGACGCTGCGCCAAGCGTTCCCTGGAGCGATATCCATTCGTCCAGACCAAGGCTGCCAAGCAAGCCCGAGAGTATCTGCTCCTTCGCGGTGCCGATATCAGGAAGGTCCAACGAGAACGCATGTTTCGCGCCGCTGAGAAAAATATCTGGTTCGGTAAAGGTCGTATCAGCGGAGGTAAAGGATGAACCAGGAGTAGCATTCGGAATCGGCGATTCCAGCACGGCCGACGGTGGAGGAGAGGTGACCTGCGACCAGCGGTTGAAATAAACGACCCATTTGAAAATTGAGTGGAAACTAGAATCCAGCGAGCGTAAAAGGTGGGCTAAAAAGTCGAGATACATGACTGAGGTGTCGCAGCAAGGAGAGGAGGGAAATCGGATATGAATGTAGAAGTGTAGAAGGAGCGGAAGCGTCACCGCGGATTGGTTCAACCACGCTTTGCACCTGTTTGCATAGCTTCCCACGGGGCTCGTCATCACAACCACGGTGGTAGATAAAGCGACAACTCAACAAACAAAAGGCAGTGGTTTGACAGCACAAAGTATTTGAAAATGACATTGGACAAGTCGGGCTTAAATAACTAAAATGTACGTGCCGACGCAGTACGAGCAGTTAGAACGTAGAACAAACAAGGTCCACCAAATAAAAGCACAGACAAAATGCAGCTAGAAGATATAAACGTAAGTTCACGCGCAACGTGATACACACAGGATGTAGCGAGGAGCGTAGCAAAGTCATTATTCGTCAGTATGCCTTTGCATCGGGTGCAGCGCCGGCAGGCACACACGGCCAGTGCGCAGGGTGGGGCACAGCCACATCACAGCAGGCGGACAAAGTTGCTGGGGAAGACGTGCCGTCCGGGCTGCTTCCGGGCCTCGTCGAGCAGCTCGCCGCTCCACCAGCCGTCCTCAGGCGTCGCAGTGACAGCGATGACGTCGCCCGCCTGGAAATCGAACTCCTCGTCGATGACGGCCTGGTAGTCGTACAGCGCGGTCACTGCAAAACATGCAATCAGCGACAGCCCGCACCTTTGAGACACAGCGGAAACTCACCGTAGAACAAGACCGGGCGGCCGTCGTCGGTGTACGCGCCAGTCGGCGAGGGCTGCGAGTGCGCAGGCGGCTGGGGCGACGGCCCACGACTCGGGTCGGGCACACCGTAGTTCTGCGAAGGATACTGCGGCGCGGCGCCGTTCCCATACGGTGGCTGCTGGGGCTGCTGGCCGTAGCTGATGGACTGCGTGCGCCCAGGACCGTTGGCCGCCCGTCCGTAATCCTGCTGCGCCCGCTGCTGGCCGTAGCCTGGATACTGCTGTGCGTACTGGGGCTGCTGTTGCGGCGGTGGAGGCATCTGTTGGTGCGGGGGAGGGGGCGGTGGCGGTTGCTGCATGTATGACTGGCTATACATCGGTGCTTGTGCGGGAGGCGGCGGACCATACGGGTTCTGAAGTGGCGCCTGCGGAGAGGGATAACTGCCTTGGCGTACCGGTTGCTGAGGTTGCTGCGGTTGCTGTTGCTGTTGCTGCCGGTAAGGCTGCTGGGTGGGAGGGGCGGCAGGGGGCTGCTGGTATCTGTACCGCTCAGCGAGCTCGTCGGCGACGACACGGCCAGAGGGGTCGAGAGTGATGCCAACAGGGTTCGGAGAAACGGAGCGTTGCGGCTGCTGTGATATAGAGTTTTGCCGTGAGTTGTGTCCAGGGCCTGTGAGCGTACCGTTTGCTTGAGCGAATGGCGTGGCGACGCCGCCAATTGCACCAAGAGGTGCGCGGATGCTGTTGCGCCGGACGTTGGCGGGTTGCGAGCCAACTTGAGGCGGGAGCTGGCTCGGCTGGACGGCTGGACTGACATTCCGTTGAGCTGCAGGGCTGACGCCGCGCTGGTGCGACTGCTGCATGGGGCTCGGCGCGCGCGATGGAGAGTGGAATGGTTGGGGGCTCGGCGAGCGCCCTTGAGCTCCTACTCCCGTCATGCTGTCCGAGCTAGCATGTCGTGGCTGCGGAGGCTGAATAGCTTGAGGACCGCTGATACTTCCAGCACGGCTGCCAGGTCTGCTGATCGACTTGCGCTCTCCGGGGAAGGACTGGCCATAGTCTGCCAGAACGTTCTGGACCGTCTGGTCTTGTTGCTGGGCGGAAGGTGGGGGCATAGCAAGGACGGCAGTGGGCGGGTTTGGCGAAGCAGGACGAGAAGCCGTTGGCGGAGGGCCTCCGACCACGATCTCTGCAGACATACGGTAGTCGCGCTTATTCGGGGGACCGCCACCACGGCCGCCAGGAGGCGGCGACAGCTGCGACGAGCTGTCTCGAGTCTGGTGTGTGGGTCGGGCCTGGGCCTGCTGCTGATCCAGAGGGCTGGATTGCTGGCTCCTACGAATACTGCCCGCACGGAGTGCCTCCATCTGCCGTGCAAGCGGATCGTCGTCTTGTCCCACTCGGCCCGGGACACCGCCACCATTGACAGATCCAGAACGTTGCTCCTGCGGGTTGCTAGACAGGTCGACCGGATATGCTCGATCGCCGACCTTGAGCATGGTCTGTTCATTCGCAGCGATGGGTTCTGCGTTCGGATCCGCCAGTACAGCATCACGGTTGGTATTGAGACTTCTGCCATTAGGCCCGGCGGCATTGATGGACTGTGCTTGGGCCGGAGGCGGGTTTCGCGAGCTAGCTCGGCTGGCAGGGCGAGATTGGCTTTGTGCAGCGGGATCAGACCTACCACCGCCTGCACCGATGCCAGCAGTGTTGTCTCTCGGCTCGAGGTCTTCGTCGGCAAGGGGCTGTGGCGGCGGGAAGAAGTCATGGGGCCGTTCGGTGACGCGCTGGAAGTTCGCAGGGCGGCTACCCGGGCGTTGTGCAGATGCAGTGATAGTCTCGGGTTTGGCGTAATTGATGAAGACAGGTGGGCTGGGGATGGCGTTGCCCGTGCCGTAGTTGTAGACGAAAGTTTCCATGTCCTTTTCCGGCTCGAATTGCTCCAGGGAAAGACGTACACGCTCGCAAGACTGGGTTTACAACGTTAGTCTGCCCCTGTGGACTACAGAGCGTCGCCAACTCACTTCATCATCTGACACGCAGACTGTTGACACAGTGTTCGCGTACGCCCACATGTTGTCCTTCATGAACTCCATCCGCTCTTCCTCAAGATCTTGGCAGCGATCGCAGAAATCCTTCCAATCTTGCTCCCACTTGACTGTTGTGTCTTGCAGGATGCGGGTGAACTTTTGGAAGTCTTGTTCGTTTACGCCTATGGTCTGGTACGCGCGATCGAGCTTGGACTGGATTTTTTCGAGCTCCTTGCCCTGCATGATCGTAGACTGGGCGGTGTACGAGTTGATGCGGACGCAGTCTTGCTCGTACTTTTCGCGCGCACGGCTGACATGCGACTCTTGCTGCTGCTTCATCTTGAATTCGCGTTCAATCGCAGTCTGGTACGTCTTCTTATGGTGCAGCTGACGGTTGAGGAGGGCGTTTGCAGGGGACTCGAGATCGTTCTTGACCTGCTGCGCAACGTTCATGTGGAAGCTGGCCTGTTTCTCCGTCTCAAGCCGGAGGGTCTCCATCGAGTTCCGCAACTCGCTACTAGAGTCTCAGCACCTCGTACCATGCACAGATATCGAATACGCACCCTATCTCATCCTTCCCGAGCGTGATCTTAGCTAAGGAGGCCAAACGTTTTGCATACTGCTCCTCTATCATAGCCCTTCACGTACAACGGTCGACCAAGGTCCCCTTTGCAAGATAGAGATGCAACATACCTCTCCTTCCAAAAGTTCCTGAGCTCCTCCATCGTCCTGATCGCCCCCCTCATTCTCGCAAAGAGTACATCCACCCCAGCATCGCTCGTGCCCCAAAACGCATTGCAGAAGTCCAAAGAACGGTCAGCGAAATCGGGCGTGTTGTTTCGCTGGTATCGAGAAAGAGAGGTCGTCGACGCCTGGCGCCGCGCAGTCATCACAGTGCCTTTTCAGCAGATAAGGGGACACAAGAACGAGAGGAAGTGGAGGGAGTGGTGAAGGCTCGAGGCTCTAGTGAAGTTGAACGCGTGTGACTGAGATGATGCTGTGCCGTAGCCACGCCCGGCGTCGTTTCAGATCAGAACTGGTGGTCTCGACCTAGTTCCAGCGTCGCCGCTGTTGCGCTGCTGCCGCAAATTATCGCACGAGAGAATATTTTATGGCCGACGTCAGAGTGAGCTCATCACGCTCAGAAGTTCTCGAGATCCCACGTCTTCAGGCCGCGACGGAGCAGGCTCGTATCACTTGACAGCATCGGGCTCGTTCTAGCGGAGCTTCAATTTTCGTCGGCAACGTAGAGCGGAGCTGACAGCCGCTGATCTGCGTGCCCAGCCTTCCTGATGGCTAATGCTCCCACCGAACCTTCGAATCTCAACTCTATTGGCTCAGATGCAGGAATTACTTACTGCTGGCCAATTTCGTTGCAGGTCCAAGAACAGGGACACTCCGGCGAAAATATTTCCTGCGTTTAGAAGCTAAAAAGAAACATGGACGGTCTGTGCAACCTTGTCTCTCATCAACCTCCCAACACACCGAGTCTCTCGCTCCCAGACTGACTCACAGGGGCTGATGACCGACTTATTTCAGACAGCCGCGAGCCAAGACCACGATCGTCGTCGTCGACCAACCGCATAGGCATGCTGTTATCCACTATCTGTGCTCTTTAGTGGTACTTCACGAATTGCTCGCGAGCTCGTTCCGTAGGCTCTAAGGGGACCCAGACGCCGTTTTATATGCCGCCTTAGCAGGATGAGCATGTCTCTCAATTGTACGACTCACTATTTTTGTCCCATCGCGTCTCAGGGTCATGAGATCACATCTGTGGGTTTCCAAGGCTGTCTCTGTGTAGAGCTTGGAATGCTGACGGACAGGATTATGCGACACTTAACACATCAGCAAAGAGGTAGAGTAGAAAGATAGCGGCCTGGAGGCGATACAGCGCAAAACCAGTCTATTTCTTGCGATATTTAAAGGTATTTTGAGATATAACGCAAATTCCAGTATTTAGAACGGCCGAGGTTGCAAGTACTGTATCGCAATCTTTCTGTCCTGCTGATGCATCAATGATAATGCAACGCAAGCTCACGCGTTAAAGCGTCTATAGGCGTACCTTTCCGGTGGTTCTCAACAGCAAGCCAACGTCGTGCGACAACGGTGTCGTGTTGCAGACGGTCTGAGATCGTACCTGGCGGCTGAAAAGTACGCGTCGTAATAACTGGTAACCAGTGCCTGAATCGCATCGCTGCTTCACACACTTACAAAGGCACGACGGTACACGTTGCGCTCGTCCCCCTCTCAACGGTGGCGGGGTGCGAAGATACATGATGTGAGACCCCTCGATCAAAATCAGGATACCCTCTCTTCCGATCCGTGCAGGACGGCACACGTATACTGCTCACAATACGAACTTATATGACACGCTTTAGTGCGCCACACGCGTATCGGTGCATCATGTGCCAGCGAAGAGTCATGATCACTGGCAAAAGCTGAGGCTCAGCAGCGGCTGTTTGCGTCGTTTCCTGCCATGCTCTCACTCGGAAACGTAGCGAAGCATTCAAAATGTGATATTATATGCGGTATAAATCCAAAGCTCTCGCCACGTAACGATGACATGTCGCAAGGCGGCCAATGCTGCGCGCCAAGTGATCAAAAGCGCAGCATCCGAAAACGGAAGCGTCGGCCATCAATGCCGCCATCGGAGCGCTAACGCCACAAAGAGGGCTACACCGGCAAGGTGCCACGTGGCTGACGTCACTGCTTATGACGGCCCCGCGCCCCAGCGACAAGCCTCTCGCAGATGGCCACTCGACCCACATACACGCTGCACTAGTGTGCTTACACAACGACATCGCGCTTGAAGCTTTGAAGGTCCGCCACATCCAGAGTCGCCTGGGAGAATGGCCTGGTGGACCGCGCCCGGCGGCGGCCCTTGGAAGGTTCCCGAACTTTCTCCCGCAGTCACCACTTCCGTCTCTGCGCGCGATCCCGATGACGGAGCATTCATCGAAACGAATGCCTGCGCACTAAACTTAGCTTTCTACACGTCTGCTGCCACCACCACGCCTTCCACCGTCATGCCCATCTCCCACGAGCATTGTCTCATATAACCCCAGACCCTCTTCGCTCTGCGGCGCTATACGACCCACATACACTGTCGACTGATACCCACCACTTCTACTTTTTCTACACACACTACACAGACACCACTCATTCCGCAGACTGAAGCGATGCTCGACAGCGAGAAGCAAACAGACGACATCCGCGAGGAGAATCCCCCAGACCGCGAGAGACCTGGGGGACAGATCGTCTCAGAGTGGCGGGAGGGCAAGGATATGGTGATTGAGATACAGAGGGCGTCAGGCGAGGACGTGCGTACTTCTATCTTGCTGCTGCGCACGCACGCTTCACTGACCGTGTCTCGATCTCGACCCCACCGCCATGACGTGCACAGGTCGAGGTTGTCGTGGTCAAGAACGCCTACTGCCCGAAGGCGAAGCAGAGCAGCAGGGCCCTCAGCCCCAAGAGCACAGAACTGAAGCGCCAGGACTTCATCGAGCGCTGCAAGCATGCCGTCCACCATGCCGAGCAGGCCGTCAAAGACAGTATGCACGCCGGGGGTTGCTCGAGGCCGGTGAACAGTGTCGACGAATGACTGACAACAGTGGCATGAGAAGGCGAACAGAGTTTGGAGTGGCTGGATTGTTTTGATACCCCGGTTATCCAACACATGTGCAGCAGATCGCAGGCATTTTTTAACGTTTTGGGCTCTTAAGGGTAATATATGATGTTGGAGCACTTATACAGAGTCAGGGGTATGATCTCGTTATGTTATATTTGATCCAGTGGGATGCGACAGACACTTCGTATGCAAGGTATCAGCACAGGGGTCAATGAAGATGACGGGGTGAGATAAGATAGCCCTAGGCGGAGAAGATGGAAGATTGAAAAGATGGAAGGGGCGGATGCCTGAAGAGACCAGAAGGCACATGAGCGTTCGTTACTTTTCATTAGAAAGGCACATTGAAAACGCCTGTCAACAAAGTTCAGTTTGGTACGCCAACTGACAATGACCTCTGTCACGCACCATCAATGGCGATGCAGCGGCACGCAGAAGGAACAGACGGCCCGCTCATCTCCCCGACAGGCTGTCGGACAAGCACAATCACGAGGTCATTCCCAGGATTCCAAGTTGAGCCAGCAGCTGTACTCACGCAGAAAGGATCCCTGGCGCGCCGACGACCATCCCGACTCCGGAAGCGACAGCGACAGTCACAGCGGTGCCGGCCAGCACGTATGGCCAGTGATTCTCCGATTCCCGCGCGGTTTGTGGTGGGGGCGACGGCTCAGGAGAGAACGAGGGGTGGACATATATTCCATCGAAGGCGCGCATTTCGTGTGCTGCTGAAAGCTCTGGCAAGTTCTGGTGTGGTGTTCAGCTCTCCTGCTCTGTATCTCGGTATATAAGTACGCCAGAGGAGCCCCGCTAGAATGGAAGCGGTGCTCACCTGGGACACGTTGGCGCTGCTACTGCCAAGGGTCTAGGGCCCGGCGATACGTCGCTGTGCACGAGAAGGCGTCGTGAGTCCTGCAATGTTCTCAGCGGTCGCTGGCTCTCTCTGCCTCGGTCCTTTGTATCCTTCTTCGTGCGGAACTGGCGGCTGGCCCAGGATTAGGCCTCTCAGTCCGGGACAGAACGGCGAGCGAGGTGGGGGTCGGTGGCGGACAGGACGGAAAAGTGATTGGCATCTCGCCGACCGCCCTTTTATATGCAGGGCCCCCTGATCAGATAGAAGCGCCGCATATGCTCCGGGCTATTGTGGCTGCTGTATGTGTGTACAATCTGAGACTTAACTTGTCCTGTCCACTCGATACAAAGAACGGCGGGGCCGATAACAAAGCATGTGATTTTTGTCAGAGTTTGATGCGCTTGATGGTGATGCGCCTCGTCGCTTGTCAAGCGACAAACTCAGCCGCTGCCACCATTCTCACTCGCTATCTTGGCCTAATCTCCAGCATATGCTTTGCTGCAGATAACGTGAAGTAAAGAGCGATGTCTAGACCGGCAAACAGGCCACCTCGGAGGCACTGTTAATGGGAGCCGCGCCATCCAAAGTTCACCGAAAGAGCGCGGAAGGGAGCCGCCAGGAACGTATGTGACGCCCTACATTGTTCTCTTAGATGGAATCTTTTCTTATGCCGCACCCTGTCAAATGCACTATTCAAGTTTACGCGGTACCTCGTCCAAGGGCGTTACTGGACAACCTCGCCTGGGAGGACGCGAGATCTTTAGAACACGTTGCATTACTGGACTCTGTCCTGTGGCCGCCTCCCATCTACCACGCTGGAGATCCGCTCCAAGCTATGTGGTCTTTATGAGCCTACATATCTGTCCAGACAGCCTATACTCGGCCCTCCGCACCGTGAGTAGAGGGATTGTACGTATCGACCACCTCTCAAGGATATTTTCTTACTAGGAATTCAATCACGCATGTTAGCTTCTCATGTGCGCAGACCGCTCCTTCTGAACTTCCATTTCAGCGCCTCCATGAGCTTCAAAGCCAGCAATAAGACCAATCTTATAGCCATCACCATCCCACCGTTGCCTGCCTCATAACAGCCACTGCGCTTGCACTTCCATCTTGCAGGCCGGCCCTGTATCCAACCAGTACACTGCGAATACCTCAGCTCGTCCTGAGGTGAGTCTCACTTAAAGCGTTCGCAACGTTCATAAATGCAATTTATTGATACCCGCTAGGTGCCGTTGTATGCAGAAGACAGTCCGTTTAACTTCGTGACAACAAAGTCTTTTACGATGTTCAAGGATAGTGAGGAAGTTGAGTCGCCCATAGACGGCTCCTTTGGTGAGCATGAAGAATTTGAGTCAGTGAGTAGGATATAGGGAGAGACGTGGGAGTCGCACGCTGATATGCCGGATGCAGCGTCTGTCGCGAGGGTGCTTGACGTTCACACTACGAGAAAAATCAATCCGTGCAGAGGAACCTCCGTGGTTTAGCGTGGAAAATTTTGTCGAACCTCATCACACTACACTTTTCCACTTCGTCAATGAACGATCAGCGACCCACCTATGGACGAAAGAATATTGTCCCGACACCCATATTCCAGGTGAAGCGTCTGAGAGTGTGGGGGATAATCAAGATGGCGGAACTTGGGGTCTCAGAAGAGATTCTTTTCACGTCATCCGGGCATGGCTAGATATTCTCTCTTGTACCAGACCCGCCGTCTTCCGTGCCCTTGCAGCGGGCTCATTTTGGACCCGGAGCCATACCCAATGATCTCGCTAACAAGTCCTGTGGAACAATGGATGTCGGGGAGCTGTTGAAGACGCTCAACGACGTCTTTGGGACGAATCATCCACTGGGCGCTCCAGGCCTGCAGAAATGCCTCGAACACTTCCTTCGCACCCCGCCAGACTTCGGCGAAGTGTACGGCCTCTTGCGGGGCTATTGGCAGTCCGACTTCTCTCAGCTCCTCTCCACCATTGCGAGGAAGCGAGCGCACGACGAGAAGATGCGGCAAGACGTCTTGCATGGGGATTACATCAGAAACTCGAATATGCGTCCACGGCGGGTGTGGGACCTCTACAGTAATCGGGTGCTTCCGTTTTTTACCCTTCCTCCGCATTCGTGCAAAGATATTCCTGACAACGTCTGGACCGTGTCACATAGCTGGGTGCACGGCGATGCGCTGGTTAAGGTCTCAACTCCCATTAACGGCAAACAGTAGCTCGTGCCGATACCGCGGGGCACTAGTCTGGACCACGTCCGAGTGGAGCTGCTTAATCTCGGCGCGGAGTACGTCTGGCTAGATGTCCTCTGCTTGAGACAGAAGGGACGTCGAGCGGGAGAACGGCAGAGGAGGGAGGAGTGGAAGCTGGATGGTCCTACTATCGGACACATCTATTCATTCCCGCATGTTCCGTGCGTCACCTATTTCAACGGGCTAGGCCTTCCCTTCAACCCATCACCGAATGTCCTATCCACCAACAGACACTGGCTTAACCGTGTTTGGACGATGCAAGAAGCCACCTGGGCGTGGCTGCCTGGAGGAGCAACCGGCACGGTCTCCCCAAACACTCGTGCGTTCTTCCAAAATCATCTCGGGAAAGCGATTCCCCCTTCGCACTTCGAAGACCCCACACGAACCAGACACCTGGGTGCTGCTCTCACAGCATTGCGGAAGCGCCATTGCACAACGGAGCTCGACAGAATCTCCTCGCTCGCATATGTGGTTCGGTGCCAGACCGTGCCGTACTACGATGAGCGGATAAAAACCGAGTCCGCATGGGCGATCCTTCTCAAACACATGCCTCCGGACATGCGAGGCAATATTTTCTCACGACACGTGAAGGATCACCCTGACGACGTCTCCCTGTGGCCTTCATGGAAGCAATTCGTCGCGCAAGACCACTCAGCGTGGATGAGGATCGTGGACGATCAGACTAGCCCGGGGGCCCCGTTGGATCTTGTGGGCGACTCGCGTCTCGGTGTACATGAACGGGGGACCTACGTTCAGGAAGTCCTCTCGTTCGGCCGCTGCATCATAGTCCGCCAGGGGAGGAACGACAAAAATAACAACAGGGCTTTCAGCGTGCGGTGTCAAGGCCATGTGCGTAAGATTCATGGTGTCATTGGAGGCACCGTCTCGCGGGACGTGACATATATGTTTCTGCAACTCGAGCTGAAGACTTGGCTCGTTGTGGAGGTCAATGGAAAGCGTCAAGATGAAGGACTAAGGACAGTGTTTGAAGTGGTCAAGCGGGGATGTATACTTCTTGAGAACGTACCATCATTTTCTCCTCGTCGTACTGTGACTGTGATGTACACTAGTAGCTCTTAAACAAAGCTTCACTAGGTCGTGGTGGAAAGACTCGGAACATGTAGCGGATCAAATACCGTGCGATTGCCAGTAATCTAGTTTAGGCGATGTTTAGCTGCTTGCCAGCAGGTATCATAACTTGAGTCATCGAGCTCGTGGTATAGAGACTCCTTGTCCTGCGGCGGCTGCGGCGATAACGTGGACACGCACTAACATTTTGGACAGAGGAGTCGTCTCCAGCGCCTTCGCCCTTCGCCATTATTTCGCCATACGGAACAGTTGTCGTACTATCACACTAGCGACTCTTGTCGTGTCGTACGTCGTCTCATTTTCTAGGTCAGAAATCGGCTGCATCTTAGCATTTACAGCACTCCGCCACTCCGCCATCAACCGCCGCTTCCTAGACCCAGATCCCATTATGTCGCCCCCGGCACTAGCTACGCCTCCCTCTACAACGGAAATAAACGCCGTCCCCTCAGAGAGCCTTTCATCCTTACCAGAGGTTTTCGTGTTGAAAGCAAGTGCGACATCTGAATTCTACGTGTCTCCCAATTGCCGGCACTTGCATGTTGCAACCAGTTGGCAGCCCTTGGGACGCTTTCAGTCGTCAGTGGATCACGGATAGGTTTTTCTACCAGATGTTTGCTCCCGAAACCAATCCTTTCGATGATCCCCTCTTCTTCTGCATGACGTTGACTGTGTCTGCCATGGTAAAGTATACCTCCAACAAACAGTCCAGTGTCACTGCCTATCAGTTATCTCCGACTTTCAAGGAGCAGTGGCTCTTACTTGAGGAGTTTGTCTGGTCAACGGCACTCTCCCCCCTACTCCGCTATGTGATCTTCTCCCAGGAAATCCCAGCTCTCTGACCCGTCACGAAGATGCAACAATTGCTGTCCAGCGCGCCGTTCGTACAGATGGGAGCATAGGCTACATCTTGCGGCCCAGATCCAGTGGAGATGAGGACTCATGCTCGCATTGGATGCTGATGGTTGGTAGCTCCATCGCTGCTGCAGAGGTTATCCGACGCCGATGGGGTCCCGCAAAAGAAGACGTGACTCTGGAGTTAATCAGCCACGGCATTCCTTTCTCTACTCCTATCCCCTCAGCTCGTCTATTACTCTCCATACCATTACCCTCTGTTCAGGACGGACTTGAATATCGTGAAGCAGGCTATCATCCTACTCCCCTCAATTACATCATATATCAACATCGTCGCCAGAAAATCCTTTCTCGCCCTCACAGTCGTGCGGCTCTCATGAAAGGGGGTATTGTTTGGCGCCTGTCCTACGAAGAAGTGGCTCGAGTGTTATTGCTTGGACCCACTCAAGGAGCATCCACTTACATCCAGCTCGTCAACGATCGCGAATTCGTAGATGATGACCTTTCCAATGAGAATCTCGACGGCATTTGCGGCGTATATCATGTATGGCAAGGTATGTTCGAGCCAGCGCCTTCAATTGCTTTTGCTAAAGTGTTCGCCCTCCCAGACCACACCAAGACTTCTGCATCTGATTCACCGTGGTGGCCCAAACACTCAACATGGCAGCAGAGCGGCATGAACGTCGGCTACTGGACTCGACAGAACGAGGATTGGTTTGTCCGCCATCGCGAACGCCTGCAGAATGCGTGTAACAATGGAGACTCCGATTCTCTTCGGCTGAAGACAGCCCAACACTGGCGCCGTGCACTCAAAGACGAAACCATTCGACAGAACGCATTTATCAAGACAGTGAACTCGCTGTCAGATGCGCTCTTCAGTGTCAAAAAGTGATTAAGCTGTTGTCCTGATTCATGTCATTATCACGCGGATCGATTGTTTCGTGCTGCAATGTAGCTTCTTGCGTTACAGACTCAATTCTTTCTCGGTTGTAAAAAGGAGGATACGTTTCGCTCCAAGGCCACTGGCGCAGAAGACGATACTGCCCCAGTATTTGTCCTTGTCCTATCGAAGAATAATACGTGCTGGTGATGTTGTCTGCACTTCTACCTTGAAGCTTGAAGCTTGAAGGCCGATGAGTCTTTGAGATACACAACCTCGTTCGACAGCTATTACGGACGTTCGTGATCTAATCTTATCTGTAAGTAAGCGCGTGTTAGGTATTCTTCGCAATTTTGTGATCAATTCCTCCTTCCGCCCATCTACACTCCTTGCCGTGCTCGATTCGCCCTGTTGCCTTCATTATCTCGTCTCGCTCGGCACGTCCTGGACGCCGAAAAAGTAAGAAACTCGCGCTGGACAACGCGCAGAGTCATCTTCCCGCTCATCGAGCTCTCCTCGGAGCGACAATTCAAGCACGTCGTCTACAACCTCGTGCACACCTCGCTCGAGGGCATCAGCAAGTCTGGCTGGTCTACATACCAAAATAGAACGCTCCACAATATGCCTCGAGATGTCCGGGAGGTAGACAGGCACCAAGACTCGGCTCCCGAGGTCATCCTGACCGACACAGGCTTGCGCAAAGTTAAGCCGTATTGGTACAACTACACCACTATGGCGAAGGGTCGCTGGCTAGGACGGGAAATTTTGGAGATTATCTCTACCGAGTTTAGGGACCGCAGCATGGAGTACTACGTGCGTTCCGCTCTACGCATTATCTTTTGAGTATGCTAATGAGCCAACCTTGAAGGGCAGAGATATGCGCTCGAGTCCGGCGTGACTACTATCAATGGGAAAGTAGCAAAACCAGATACTATTGTGGAGAATGGAGATCGCATAGAGTATGTCGCTTGTCGCTGTGTGCATCTGTGGTAATAACCTGGACTGTGCTTACGTAGAAATGTCGCTCACCGACACGAACCGCCTGTGACCTCGACTCCTGTGCGTATAGTACACCACGACGCGGTGCGAGGATTCATCGTCATAGACAAGCCTGGGAGCATAGTGCGTTTTTGCCACCTGTTTTCTGTCGAATCGCTTCGCTGATTTATCTGCAGCCAGTGCATGCGGCTGGACGTTATTACAAGCAGTCGCTCGTGCAAATTCTCAAGACAGAGATGGGCTTCGATAACGCGTACAGTACGTGAATTGTGCTGCCATAGTCTTGCAGATATCATGTTGACCGTTGTCCAATTCTACAGCTGTCAACCGTCTAGACCGTCTCACGTCTGGACTTATGATTCTGCCGTTATCTGCACAACTCGCCCATACGATGGCTAAAGAATTCGCCGCAGGATCTGTTAAGAAGGAGTACATTGCACGCTGCAAGGGCGAATTTCCCGAGTAAGTCAAACATTTGCACGCCTTGCTCTTGCGACTTAGGCCATGCAGGGGCGAAACTGTTTGTGAAGAACCACTTCTGACGGTGGATCGTCAAATGGGTCTCAATGTTGTGCATCCGGAAGGGAAAGTGCGTATCCGCTGTCCCACACCGGCAGCTTAGCCATAAAGCTGACTGCGGATTGCACACAGTCAGCGAAAACCATCTTTACTCGCCTACACTACGATGCAGAGACAGATAGCAGTGTCTTGCATTGTCGACCGGTTACTGGAAGATGTGAGCGGTCCTTGTGTCTGGCTTATTTTATCCTCGTTTGATACATCTGGCCAGCCCATCAAATTCGCGTACACCTCCAGTACCTTGGCTATCCCATCGCCAACGACCCTATTTATAGCGATCAAACAATATGGGTGCATATTTTATCAACGAGGTCTCACGTATACTCATCTAACCTATCCCAACCTCACAGGGCGAAAACCTTGGCAAAGGGGGTGTTGATGTCACGCCGAGCGACACCCGAGCTGCACCCGTGGCACCCCCCGAGTTCCTGTTTGCTGAAGGCGAGAACCCCGAGTCGCTATCCGACAAGCGGGCTCGATCACAAAATAACGCACCTGAGAACATACCAAAGAACAAACCGTTGCCGCGAGAAACGGGGCACGACATCGGCATGGGTTCCCCCGTCCCGCTGTCTGCTGAAGCTGTTGAGATTATTACAAGACTGCGAAACCAAAAGGTGCAGCACTTCTTTGTTCTTATGCAACGTGGCAAGCTAACATTTTTTTACAGGACAAGGATGAGGACTGGGGCCGTTGGCGTGATGTCGTCTTCCGTGTCAAGGGACGGCTGCGTCCGAAGTGCGTGCCTGCACCGCCGCCCCTGCCACCGCAGAACAGACGCCGCAGAGGTGGGCCTGTCGAAAACGTCAAGGATCGTCCGCTCGAAATCGATCAGTCTGCGGGCCAGCAGATGCGGGACGCTGCGCAAGCCGTCGATCAGATTGACAGTGAAGCGTTACCTCCCGCGGGCGAAGTACTACATGCGGATGGCATAATACCCGGCATGACAGGACCTGTCGTCGAAGGCATCGAGTTGGTTTCTACCGGCGCGCAGGTCGAAGAGGCATCAAACGTCACACCATCGGAGCCAAGCCCGCCGCAGCTCTCGGACGACGAGGCGCTCGCAAAGATCTCTTTGTACCCGCCCGAGAACGAGAAGGTGGAGATCGAGAAACATCCGGACTCGGAGCAGCTCAAGTACTGCCCCGAGTGCTACCTGCCGCTGCACCCAGACCCGAAGCCGGAGCGGCTGTACATCTTCCTACATGCGCTGCGGTACACGACGAGCCTGGGCTGCTTCGAGACGGAGACGCCGGCGTGGGCGGCGAAGGGGTTCAAGTGGGACCGTGATTGAAGCGCGTGTTCATCGTGTTTGAATTGCTGGTGGACAAGCACGCTGGGGCTACATTCGTCTCGCGGTGAACTTTAGATACTTCATACCGTCTAGACCCTCCTCGGAATATTCATGATCTCTCTAGAATTAGGCATCACACGTTTATTTATCGTTCTGTCGACTGAACAGGGAAATGCGGGGTCGTAGACACTACTAGGCGCGACCCGTCTCGACAGACGAGGCGAGAGGTAGTCATCATGGCGGTGCGCCTACACTGGGATCCAATAGAGCAAGTTCTGGTGCATGACCCAACGAAAGTTTCAAATAGTCAGTTTGATCTTCAGCTTGTCATCGTCAACAATTTCCTGCTTCCGGCCAAGCGGCACACTCATGTCCCACCGGCAGTCAATGTACCGTCCCGCTAACCAGTCACGACGCCCTTTGACCAGTCAGAGCAGAGTACGCGCTGCCAGCTGGGGCGTGTCGACAAACACCCCGGTAGCCTGAATCTCCGGCGACAGACGCACGGATATGTCGGTTTCAAATGACACCTGAGTGGATCGAGTACGCTAGGACGTCCATGTCATCATGTTCAACGTTGATCCACTCCGCAAAACGCAGGATCGCAAGCTTTAAAATCTGGTGAAAGAAAAGAAAAAAGTTCTCTATGAGCAAAGAAGACACTGGATTCAGCGTGGGGCATCGCACCGAGTACGGCGAGTACCGTGGCAGGAGCCCGACGGCACCAGCGTTGTTGAGATTGACGATCGTCTTGTCCCCACCACACTTGATCAGCAGCGGGGCCAATGCGCGTGTAACCTAGTATACCCCGTGCATGTTGACCTCCCGACCTCTCCACCACTTCTCGGGGTCGTTGTCCGCGGTGAAGTCGTAGCGCTCGAGGTAGCGGACGTTGTCGATAGCGACATCCACGCGATCGACTCCGGCCGCAGCGACCACCTGGTCATTCAATATTGATGATGTCCACGGCGATGACAAGCATATCCACAGGCAGTGGGCGACCATCCTGAGGGCGGTGCACGGCTAAACACTGCTCTTTGACTGCCTCTAGATCCAAGCGGGCGAGGAGGACGAGCTTGAGTGCCAGCCTGCGCCATCGCGAGGGCGCTCGCCTGACCAATACCCTTTGAGATACCGGTGACGAGGGAACCCTTCGAATTCCTAGCATACCGGGAATTGCCAGAGCCAATAATTTGCTGAGAAAATTCGATGACTCGGCCAATTAGTGAGGACGCCCGTAGGGGATGGGGTGGCTGATCTTGTGATGTGCGGATCATCATTTGACGGCATCGCATGCCGAAATTTATTCGACTGCGAGATTCTGTCTGGGCATGTCAATACCTTTGGCTACCTATCGGCCGCTGCTCTCGGGCAGCCTGAGGCCGCGCAGACATTCTTTGAGAGCTGCCATCAACAGTCTGTGACGAACTTTACGTTTATAAAATCCAACGTACCACTGACAGATCGATGCATACTGGCAGGTATGGAGCTAGCCAGACAGAACGGTAGTGAACCAGGCCAAGTCTCTCGTATTTCGGCGATCAAACGCCACAAGGCTGTAGCCATACATGGCGCGAACGAAAAACGGGAAATTTCCGCAGACCTCATCAAAACTCGTCCTGTTAGTCAAATTATGACGAATCAAAGATGTGGATTATATACCACTAGTCAGATCTCGGGGATGGGTAGTCATGACGCTGAAGGACAAGAATTGATAGCAGAACATGATCTCCAAAGCCTGCTCCGGCATGCTCGATGACAAGAGACGGCATCGGGATAGTCCCTCCACGTGCGGACGACATGTTCGCCGGGTAAAACGTGGCAAGGTGAGCCAGTATGCTCTTCCCTGAATCTTTGGTAACGCACTGTATAGATTAGTCGAGCTTCGACAAATGAGCGAAAGTGCTAAACAAGACGGACTTTGTACTGCAGCGTTCGGCTCGGGAGCGCCGTCTCGGGCTCCCAGTGTATGGCAAGATTGTCGAATATCCATTTCAGGCCGTGCCAGTGCCAGTTGTTCTGTCACACAAAGCCAACTCGTTCAGCGCTGGGATTGTACACCGAGGGACAAGCGGTGTCTCACCGCATGAAAGTAACGTGACTTGAAGGCTACCACGTTTCCAAGCCTCTTCGCAGTCGATCCCACAACTATTCGATTTATACGGTCATATGGCCCATATCTGAATTCATAAAATAGGAATAGGGATATCAACCTTGAGTCCTTGAGACATGTCCCACTTATTGGCACTCACTCGAACTCTCCCACATAGGGACCAGATTCCAAGGCTCCCCGGCGAACAACGGTAACAAACGACTGCGGCTTAAAAACATTCATATGCACCGATATATGATACAGCGAACGACTGTCCGCTGCACCCGGAGGCGGTAAGAGCAGCATCGAATTGGCGGATAACTGCGAAAAGCTGTATCTGACACCGCTGCAGCTGACGTTAGACGTCGGAACTCGTGTCGAGACTCGAGAAGGTAAACCTACCATTGCACAACTGGCATTGGCAGAGGTTGTGAGCCTGATAGTCCTGCGGCAGGGCCGCGGAAGTCTGCTCGGACAGTACCCCTGGGGGATGGGGGTCTGGTCAAGGAGCGAGTATCGTCTTGGCTGTAATAGCTATTATCACAAGTGAGCAAGGTTCTGTCGGTACTAGAATCCGTGCTACGTACCTTGGAGGGGCCTCCAAGAGTGTAGGGGAAGGCGGAAGATCAGGTTCTCTGCTGGACATAGTCACGCAGTGCAAGGATTCGAGGGAAGGAAAACGACCAGATGACGGAGGAAGGGACATTAATCCTGGCTTATATCACGGCCCATGGCGCCAGCCAGTGCATTTGTTATGGCCCAATCGACTGAGGTTCGTTGCGATGATGGACACCGCCTACAGTGTGATCGGAACAACAGGTAACAGAGCAACTACTGCAGAAATCTCCAAAGGGGCAATCCTACAGAGATCAGAACTGGGGAGGCTGAGAGGAAGCTATGCTCACGTAGTGCACATTGATACCACTCTTGTCTTGCGTATTACTCCGCATCTGTCAGATAAAGAAGACGAGAGGCAGCACTGTTCTCGAACTGCATGAAGAAATATGGCTCATCAGATACCCCAGTTCAATAGTTGACAAGACCGGCCGCGCCTGATGTGACCTGCAATCAACGTCGAAATGGCTACCTCGCTCCAGTACGAACCGGGTAGCTATCGCTCCACGCAAGACGAGAGTTTGTGCATAGACGGTATAGGCATGTTTTACAAGTTTGCAAGGCGGTAAACATCATATGCGACTTCTTCGTACGGATGAACCTGACCATGGGAATCGACATTGACGGACCCAAGTTAACCAGCGTTGTATAGCTACTTACAGCTTTCAGCTCCTTTATTGCACCCCGTATCTCTTCATTCTCACCCTTATCGTTCACAATGACCTCTACCCGATTCTCTTCGACAAACTCGAGTTCGCCCCGCTTGCCAATCGCAGGGTTGGCCTCAGGCCCTGGGCGGAACTGGCCCGTACCGCGCGAGAGGAACGCGCAGCTCTCATATTGCCCTATTTTCCCTACGGTCTGGGGATACTTCGAAAAGAGGTGGTTCAGGATCCTAGACGTGTCACGCACTGGGGCGAAAAAGACGAGCTTGAAACGAGACATGTGTTGCATAGATCAAGCGGAAGAAAGCAGTAATTTAGCTTGTCAACGTGGCAGTTGCTTACACTTTGCTTACCGCCTTCGCCGTTTTACTTATTATTAGTAAATATCTGCTACTTACTCAATAAGTACTTGTAAGTAGCCGGGCGCGTCTCAGGTTACTAGCACGAGCGCGGCTACCACAGCACACCTTCTCCGCTCGCACACTGGTTCCAGCTTTCCACACCAAAAAAATATCGTGATGACCAGCCTGAACCTCTCGTTGTACACTGTCTCTGGATTTATTATCACCGACACGGACGGGCACCGTGTGCTCGCAAAATACTACCATCCGCCAGGTGCTCCGCCATCGAGCAGCAAGAAACTCACGACGCTAAAGGAGCAACGCGCATTCGAGAAGGGGCTCTTCCAGAAGACGAAGAAGGCTGGTGGTGCGTGTACGCACATGCCATAACCGTACCCATTGCGGCTGATCACCGAACCGTTACAGGCGAGATCATCCTGTATGACGGCTTCTTGGCGGTCTACAAACATTCGCTCGACCTCATATGCTACATCATCGGCGACCAGTCAGCGAACGAGCTGATGCTCCTCTCTGCCCTCATATCCTTTTCGGACGCGACGCACATGCTCCTCAGGAACCAGCTGGAGAAGCGGTCGGTGCTGGAGAACCTGGACTTGGTCTTGTTGTGCTTAGATGAGACGATTGACGACGGGTGAGTTCCCCTGTTCCTGGTGCCAAAGATAATCGCGTTTCTTCAATCGGGTTCCCGTGCACCGCTGGTTGAGAGCGTTGCTGAACATGTCTTGTACAGTGTCATCGTCGAGACTGACTCTACCGCGATCGCGTCGAGAGTTAGCAGACCAAGAGCGGACACGACGGATATCGTCATCAACGAGCAAACGTTGCTAAACGCGTACCAGACGGTCAAGGGCAAGCTGCAGGAACGGATAAACCAGCTGTAATGCCCCATCCCTTCTTTGCGTACGCCGTAACTGCACGCTTGATGCCGTATGACGGTCTCTTCTCGGGGCTGTAGTCTTCTGAATCGAATATGGGCTTATTTTGCCAACACAGTCTGCCGTGGATGGCTGCACGATCTGCCCCATGAGACGGTGAGTTTGTTACTTTATCTGAGGCCTGGAGAAGAGATTCTGTCAAAGAAGATCCCGAGGAGTGGCACGACTCCGCGGAAGGCGGGGGTCCGCAGAAGAGTACACTCTCTGAAAGGGAAGCATCGACAAGATGTCACCGAACAATGAAGGAGTCCGTGCTTTCTTGTTGATGCTGTTGCTCTACACGGCTGACTCGCCTGCTCGCAGCCTACTGTATGTTCGCCGCTTAGTAGCTTCCTATGCCTATCCATGCCTCCAGCAACTCAATTCCGGCCCGCACTCCGTCAATAATCTGTACCTCCTTTCCCTCACTGCGAGCCCCGCGCATAATCGCCTCCTCCATGCCGCTCATGCCTGCACAGCCGAGCAACACAACTTGGGCGCCCTCCCGTATCAGCTCGGCGCTGGCCTCCATAATTCGCCTGTCGACCTCTTCGCGAGCTGTCGAATGCAGCTCTGCCGCGCTTAGCCCAGTGCTGCGCACACCGACGAAGTTCTCGTGCGTCCATATGCTTTCGACATGCTCTCCGGACGCGCCCAGCTTGATCTGCGCTATGCCAGCGCTGAGGGCGCCCTCCCAGTACTTTCCGGTGGTGACAATGCCGAACGGGAGGCCCAGCGACCTCGCGCGTATGACGGATGCCTCGAATATGTTTAGAACTGGCACATGGAGGCGCCCTCGTAGGATCAGCGTCAGCGGGTGCGCTGAATAGCACGCAACGAGATATGCGGCATAGACACAAGGCTGTCTGTCTTCGAGTAGGTTCAGCAGCTGGGGCAGCGTTTCTCTTGCTGAGGCTTCAGAGGTCTCCTCGTCATCGATCGATTTCGGTGCCGATGAAGGAGCAGTGTAGAAGTCGAGGTAAAGGTTTGGATGAAGCAGGTCCCGTAGGAGCGGCTTCAGTGCCTCTGTCATCGACGCGGTCGAGTTGGGGTTGATTATAAGGATTGAGACGTTGTTTGTCATGACTACGCGTAGTGCCTCTGCTCACGCTGCGTTAATGCTCTAGTACACCTGTAAGTAAGAGCACTAACCAGCGTTCGAGTCAAGGGGTAAATCATCGAGGAGATAACTGGGCGCCGACGATGCAGATGAGCCGTCCCGATTTCCCGGAGAACGAGCATGTGTCTTGTTTCTACGGAATTCGACCAGCCGCTTGGCTGGCGTATCTAATCATGCTCATGGGCAACGCTAAATGCAACGCGTCGGTCAAGTTTATTGTCCGTTCCTGAGCGATTCTCTAACAACGCTCTGGAAATCATCCTCCGACTCTTGTTTCGGGGCATCTGACTAACTCCTGATTATATAGATGCACGCACATCAGACTATATATTGCCGGCCGGTAGCGTTGGCCTGCGTTTCACCCATTTCCCAGGAGGGCGGCTCTCGTGAAGACGTGTTTCCAGCCCCAAGCGCCAGACGCGCAATTGTCTTTGCTTTCGCCTCTCGCGCCCATATAAGCCCCTGCATCTAACTCGGTGAAAGGCAAATATTTGCATACGGAGATGGGCTGCATCTCTTCGACACAAGCGGATCGTAGTCATGAGGAGAATCGTTATCCAGGACCATGTCGCCTTCCGAGAACAATAACAAAGCGCCTTGTTTCGTGATTTGCTACACCGCCCGTGCTGCCGCCATGGTAGGTGAGCAACCTATGTTGTACTCTTTCATGAGACATCGCTTACCCATTCGCTTAGCAGTGATGCTTTTGTATTCGTCTGCCGACGAGTGAGCCCCTGGAGATATCGCTCGGTTCGTTTTAAGAGGTCCCTGGGTCGAGGCCCCCCCGTCTCGTCTTCGACCGGCCTCCTATCGTAACTGGACTTCCTGCCCTGTCGCAGAGCGACTTTTCGTTACTGGTTAACGTTTCTGCCATTGCCATAGGGTATCTCACATGACCATGACAGTTCCGCCCATGATTCAAGGCGCCAATTGTGCAACCTCGGGATTCGACCATGCTAGCCCTGTGTCCCCACCTAAATACACGTCCTACAATCAGCCGGTTCTGTCACATTATCTGGAACCAGAAAACCCCGCCACTTCCGGCTTACCAGTACGCCGGTCTCGAGGATCCCTCTTGCACCGCCTCAATGGCGCTGTCGCAGCCGTCATCGCGGAAGGCTCCTGGTGGAAAGGGTCCAAGGACGCACCGCCCGCTGTCCAAGGAGCCTCAAGGACTACACCGGGGTATATACTGCTTTCAGATATAGGTTTTACGGAAGCTTGCGGTACCCGAGCTGCGCTGCCCCATCCGCAGGCGGTGTCCGTCACTCGACCCGCGAACCTTCTGTCATCGTCACGTGCACTTTCTTCTGCAAAGCCACTCATCAGTATCGAGCGAATTTGTCCTCGTACCACATCTCCTTCCTCTACCAGCCCACGTTTTCCTACGAGCGAAAGCCGCGCTGTCGACTTGGACCCAGCTGGAGGATTCGAACACTTCGCTCTTCGAGACTGCATCGCTGAAGCGCCGAGTCCTACGATGCGCCACAAGTTGCATCCCAGCGGATACTTGGCAGACGAACGCCTCATCGCCGCCCCTCAACCGGTCAGTGCCTCCACACGGTACACCCACGACTCTGGCTATGCCAGCATAGCACGTACGGACGCACTCGGGCTCGAGCTCCCAGGTCCATCGCGACTGCCCTTCACAGCAGAAAACATAGGATCCCTCGATGCCAATCGCATAGCGGAACAGCGATACGAGGAACGCATGGTATCCGTGCACGACCCACCCCAGTCGCGCTTCAACGCGCGCCTGCGCAAGCTCTCACCGCCCGCGATTCGACTCCGCTCACGCACGCCGCCACTGACGTGTTCGTCCATGCCAACTACTTCCACGGACGCTGTGCACTGTGCGCAGGACGACAGTGATCGTGGTGACGTCTCGACGATATACTACCCGCCTACTGCTCAATTACCCGAGGAGGTAGTGCGGGGCCAGTCCCCGTTGCCGCTCGACATACACGTCATCCCAGGCTTGAAGACCGACGGACCGCCGTTTATGCACGCTGTTGCACCCCTAGGAGGATACGTTTCGCACGCGAGGGTTCAGGCAGAGGGTCCAGTGCGTAGGTGGGCGGAGAGGCATGCTACACTGCCTAGTGTACCACACGAAGAGCCCCAGGTGCATTCGCCCCAGGATCCTCCGCCTGTGCACCAACGGTATGCAGAGCTTCCTTCGCTGACGGCCATCCCTCCCTTGCGGCTTGGCGAACACCCGCCGGCATACTCGCCACCTCCAGCGCTTGTTGCGCAGGACGCTTGGCCGTACTTGTTATGGCCCTTGCAAGATGCAACGGACGAGCACCCTCCAAGCGGAGCATTTAGCACCTCGAACGGAGAGAGGTCGCCTGTTGTGCAGGAGAGCTGGCCCTTCGCGCCGCCCGACTTGTGTTCGCCTGTCGACACGCGGGCGCCGTCATTGCGCCTTCAGCCCGCCCCAACGCAGCTAGCGACACCTGAATCATCGCCGGTCACCCCGCCTCGGACCCCAACTGCCCCTTCCCCCACAGCCGCTTACCGCATACCGATGGCCGACGATGCGCCAGCATACGACCCGTCCCTCTCGCCGCTCGAGATACGGTTCGAGGGTCCGCTGTTCGTGGAATGGGATGAAATGGCCGTACGTTGCGCGAATGCAGTTGGGGACATGCGCTGGGTGCGTCACTCTTCTCACATTATCGTGCCCCATCCGTCTCATGTGCTAACAATGATACACGTAGGTCCTCGGCTCGTGCAGGGAACTAGCTCTTCATGAGACAAACGCCCTCATTGAAGGACTCGTGAGAGCGGTGCTGGCAGTGCGCGACGCACTAGCAGATGCTCCCGACGACTTGGCTGTTCTGAGAGAAGACCACGGGCGCGAGTGGTCGAGAAAGTATGATATGATTTTGTTTTCATGCCGTCGGTAAATGCCTCCGGTCTTTGTACCTGACATACCTGCTGACATTGTGATCTTTGTAGGAACATAGACATGCTCACCCTCCAGGCCGAACACGTCCGCGACCGTCCGCCGCGGATCAACAAGCTCAGCGGGCTGCTCGACAAGCTTTGGCGATACGTCGAGAAGTTTGAGGACCTCGAGCGCAAACTCCGCGTAAGGTCCCGTTCTTCTGGCCCATTGCTTCCCGTACTCACTGAGCTGGCGCAGACTATTTACGACCACGTCCGCATACTACACCTCCACACACGCCTACGGCACTCTCGCGAGACTGCTGCAGCCGAGGTCGCGTCCGAACGTGCACGGCGGCGAGCCTTCAGTGACGCGCACATGCACACCCGCGACAATCACCGCGAGCTGCGCGAGGAGATCCGGCGGGTGCGAGACGAGGCTTGGATACGGAGGGTAGTGCAGCCGCAGCGCGAGGTGCAACGGGCAGATGCACTCGGCGAGCCCTTTGCGGTGTGACTTGCAATGCCAGCCTCGGGAGATGCACGAACCGGACGAACTGTGATGACTGGACACGACCGTAACGACGTTTGAGATGTATAATTACCTCTTCTGCATCACCTAGAACCCTACACATGGATGTCTCTATCGCAATCACGACCTGCTTACGACCAGAGCTGACATATAGCTTTGTGCACAGCTGTGATGTTGAATTCGAAGACCGGGCGTATGCACGCCGATGGATTTTAAGTGATGTGGTGTAAGACTTACAGTGATGCACCAAGGGGATGTGAAATGATGTACAATACATGTATGATGGATACAATGCTGACTTTTTCGTTGCGATTGTGAGGGTAGATATGCAATCACTGCAGCACGACAACCAGTGACCAAGAGCTATGCCTTGCGCAATACCCGACTAGCCTTGATCTACGGGAATTCTCGTAACGCGCAGAGAATTTTTCTAGTAGTAGATGGGTGGGTAAGGACCCTGCTGATCACTGGGTATCTGACCTATGACAAGCGTCAGAAATGGATAACTATATGCGACAAACCATCATGGGACGCACTTGGACTGCTGCTGGGACGATATTTTCAATTTCGCGACCTGACCATCCGCATCCTGAATCTCAACCTCAATCTGATCCGCATCCTCTGCAGGAACAAGCTCCTCCTCTCCCTTCGCAGCATCATCGAGGTCCATGACCTCGACAAACCACTTCGCACCCTCATTCCAGCCTGCGTTCTCAGCTTCGCCGAAGGGCGAGCGACCCGCGGCATTCTTGATGTCAATAAGGCCGACGCCGGGCCCGCCAGGGAACTCTACGAGCTTCTGCGCGACGTTGAGGTGCTGATTCAGCGCCGCCCAATGGAGCGGCGTCGACTGGGCATCGTTCTGCATCGAGAGCAGCGACGGCGAGACGATGGGCAACAGATAGTCGAGCACGTCTGTTAAATACCTTGCGCGGGTCAGTTCTCCACAGGCTGCGGTGACCGAGGCGAGACTCACCTGTGTGTCCATTCGCACAGACCATGTGCAGGACGCTGTTCCCGCTGCCGTCCCGGACATCGTTCAGCGACTCCGTGCTAAATTTTTCCACAAATTGCTGTACGTCTTCGAGGTCGCCATAGCGGCAAGCAAGCAGCACATCGTCTTTTTCTTCTTCTGTTGGGATGGGCCTGGACATGGTGGGAGTATAAATGAGACTCTGGCTCGGACCTTGCCGAGAGCACTTTTGGCGAGCGCTTAGTGCCTTTCGCGTCATGTCCGGTAGACCAGCCTCTCCAATCCCGGAAGTATTATCGTTCGTACATTTATTCCAGCAGGATTTCTGCCTTGTGAGTTTCGTAAATTCTCGCAGAATTATCCCTACAGAATAATGTAACGAATAAGGTCATCATGCAGCGGCAGCTCTTATCTCCCCCTCACGTGCGAGTTCCACGACGCGTTCTCGCCCTGCACGAGATCGATGGGGGACGTATAATGCTGCGCGAACGGATGTACACCCGCCTCCAGGTCGTCGTGGCGCATCGCGAGCGCGCTCGGCGTCATGGCGGCGACCATACCCTGGACAGTGACGCCAGTCTCGAGGCGGCGGTTCGGCGCGAACATCACGGGCGGGACGTAGTCCCTGAGCTCGGAAGAGGCCTTCAGCGGCGACTCAAGTGAGAGCGAGAACGATAGCTCGCTCCGCGCACGCTCATGCGCGTCTGTGTCGTCGATGTGCAGCACGCTCCGCGGCGACGCGTACGAGTCCATGTGTGGTGCCGCTCCAGCGCGGCTGCGCAGATGTAGCGAACGTGACTGCAGCGAGGCTTGTTTCAGCGAGTACTCGTTGTAGATATTTCGTGGGAAGAAGATCTGCGTTGAGTGGAGTTGTCAGGGCTGTTCGGAAAGCAGCAAGTAGGTGGACGTACAACGAGTGTGATCGCGGAGGAGACGGTGACGCCGACGCCTGCGAGCATCGAGAGCAGTTCCGTCCAGATAAACTTGTCGTTGATGTGCTGGTGCGGTCGGGCGCCGTCTACGCCGAGAATGATGAGCGACACGCAGAAGACAAATCGCAGTGCGATGCGAATAGTCTGTCGTCGCGAATTAGTACTTATTTGCTCGGGACAATAGGTTAGGTGCTCACGTTGAGCTCATGGAACTTGACGAGACGCATGAGCGTGTTCATTTCCACACCATCAGACCGCTGCCGCAGGAGCATCAGCACATGTATGGTCCTACTAGTAGCACATTCTCGCACTCACCAAATTCTCTATAAACTTCGGGAACGTCCATAAAATCGGCGTGAACCATACGGTAATGCACAGACTACCGAATGAACCCGCAAGGAACGTGTACGCCTCGTTCTACACCGCGCGCCGCCATTAGCAATCAGCGCGTCCAGATGCGCTTACGCGTCCCACAATACGCACCTTGAGCGGATCTGAGCGGGTGAAAATGGTAACGAGCGGCATGTAAATTATGGAAGCCCCAGAACCGACGATCCAAATTTTGAAGTAGCCGCTCCTGAACCAGTCTTGGCCGGCGCGACCTGCGTTGAGAAGGAAAAGCCAAAAACAGAGTTCTGCAGACGCGTGTTTCAGAGAGGCGCGAGCGCGGCGTTGCCAGTGCGACGTACCCTCGAGATGTGTGACGCTATGCTCGCGGAATTACGGTAAGAGCTAAGCCGCGCGAAACCGGTCGTGCACTCACAGCTCAAGGCTCCAGCCGACGGAGAAGACAAGGTAGAGCGGAAAGATGGCGTGCTGGTACTTCTTTGGCCAGTCCTGCCACGGTACTGGCTGGACTGTATTACGGTGTCGGCACACAGCACAATGTATGATGTCACGAGCACTTACTGCCGAATCCTGGAACGACGGCGTAGCCCATATCGTACTTGATGGCGGCGAAGCCGATGGAATATATCGCTATCAGCGGTATTGTGATAAGGTATGTGTACTGCAGCTCGCGTTCAGTATCATACCAGAGCAGTGACGCGTCGGTGCTTACCGTCATAATGCGCTTGAAGGCCCCAGACTGGTGGCTATGGCCCCACCTATGCCACAACGTATCAGCTTCCACGACAGCCGAGTAACGGCGTGAACGCACTTCAAGCACTTGAACCGATCGTACCGGTAGAGATGGTGAACAAGGAAGATGCCCAGCTACCGGGCAACGAAAAACGATCAGCATCTGTCCAACGTTCCCAAAAATCGCGTACGCACCAAAGTGGACAGAACAGCCCACACGAGCAGCGTCGGCGGCGTGCTGTGTGACATGCTTCTTGGAGCCTCCTACGGTGTGTCTGAAGGGCGTCGTGGGTGCCTGCACAAAGCCGGTGGAGGCTTGGACATGCGAGGGAAAGAGACTAGGCCTGTGCGAATGCACCGGGGCACGCATGTTATATGAGGATATCCGAGATCTTAGCAGGGTGCGAGAAGATCAGAGCTGATTGATAATTGACGAGCCCACAGTGAACCATATGGTACCTCCACTCGCGCGTCTGACGCCTGTGATGAGGAACGGGCATGACATCGCGGGACCGTACCACCAGACTAGGCCATCTGCATTAGAGTGGAGATCGGGGTGCTGCAGGTGTCGGCCGCGCAAGCAGTTACAACGGCAACAGCTGTCGGGCCAGTATTGGGGCAGCCTCTTCTGATCCTCTAGGGCCAAGCATACTCTGCTATGTCGCAATGTAGTCCTAAAGTTTTCAGCAAGGCTCTTTGATATTCGGAGATTTGGTGCACCTTGTCAACAAGTGAACTTTAGAGCATCTGGCTAGATGATTTTAAGCACAGCCTCGTTGCATCAACCTACGGAGCAGAATGGACAAGTAAGCTGTTTGTGACACAGATTTAGAATGGAGAGCATAAGGCTGCTCTGGCTAGTCGCTAAGCCGCTCCACATATCACGCTGACGAGAGAATGAGGGGCAGTAGTGAGAAAGCCGGACTTTCGAGCGTCTCAGCTAATATTTCTAAACTAGGCCGATGGGCGGGCATCATTGATGCGCTTTGCCTTGATTTTGCCCGGAAGCAGTCGGTCAACGTTCCGCCGCAACGTCCGCCGCAACGCGCACATTCGGTAGCGCGAAAAAAGGCATAAGGGCCGGCTAGAGCACAAGCACTTATGATTGGTCTCACATGCGTTTACCGACTTGACTGGAGACGCAGGGCGAGGTTCACAGTAAAGACGTTTTATTCCACAGCTGCCTACATCTACACAGACTATGAGACAAAGATAATCCATCAGACTGACGCTCAACCCGCTGACAAGCATCCTGCACGACTGAAACCAGCGCGCACGGGAGGCAAGTCAAACGTCCTCGCGGCCACACCCAAGGGCGGGGCCATGTGCTCGGTATGACGGGCGAACGCGAATGTCATCGACTGGATTTGGAGGATGTGGCATGTGTAAACATGCGAGACTCGAGTTAGAAACTATAAAATAGATCCTAGCTGAGTATGTTCTGAGGAAACAACGACGTTGGGCACACAAATTTATACGGCGAGTGTTTAGGGCAGGGCGGCGCGGAGCGCCCGCGAGAAAAGGCGGGGCTTTGTGGCGCTTCGCTTCGCTCTTGCGATATGCGCACAGTCGCGGTCTTGCCACGGGCTCGCGTCTGCATCCAGGCCTGACGGCTGCCTTTGGGCCTTCCGACAGCGTGCATAACTTTCAAACTGAGCTCAACATCGCGCTGTGTCCCCTACATTCGATCCGAACGGCCGCATCGTACCTCATGCCGGCGCGTTTGAAATGACAAGACAGCAATCCAATCAAACGTGTGACCAGCATCGCCTTATTGACAGAACCTAGATGTACTGCTACCCAGCGAGCCTGTTGCGTTGCCTCTTTCTCCGCTACCATGACTGACAATCGACGGTTGCCGTGGCTGCCTTCGCTTCCGCCACCTCCTGTATCGCCACCACCACCAAGGTATGTTCCTTATGCTCGATTTATGCACCACTGAAATCCATTAAAGCCAAAAAGCTACCGCACATGTGAGGAGTCTCGACCCGCGTCACCTACCGACACCATTTCTGGCACATCACACACCGGCTCAGTGTACACCTCGACCCCGAGCAGCTCTGCAGGACAACTGCCTCGCTATGGAACGGACGACGTGGTACTAACGTGGCGTTCTAGTGAGCCGGAGCCTACTATTCCGCAAAAGTGAGCATGTCGCACTTTGGCTCGAAAAGCCTAAAACAGCATTGTGGCAGCGTGACGTACAGCTTCTCTCAGCTAACCTACCGGTCGATGCTGCTCCTTCCTCCCTCGACTTCTTCGGACGGCCGGCCGCTGTATCACATCTCAGTCGAAGTCAACTGTTTCCGCCCGGGGTCACACATCACGGTCATACGGCGCGGCGGGTCAGAGAGCGGGGCGTACGTCGGCGAGTACGAGTGCGTGTACCTTCATGAAAGCGACAATTCAACGATGTAGCCTAACGTTTTATATTCCTAGGATTGGCTTGCCGGCACGGCTAAACAGAGTGACCATTGGTCCGGTCGCCAAGATGCTGATGCGGCCTGTGCTCTCTTGGCATCACAACGCGGTGCGGCACTTCGTCGTCGTCGTTTCTCACAATGAGCTCATTGGAACTGCCGCTTCAGGTCCGCTTTGAGTCACCTCGCCTCCGCTGGAACTTCGACGGCATCGATCTGCGGTGGGATCCAGAGATCTCGGCACAGACTCCTAAAGGGCGAACCTTCAAGGTCTGTACATCTCTGCGATATGTCGAGCGTGCTCCCAGAACTGTCGCAGTGCACGTGTCCTAACCCGGCGAACAACAAAGCGCTACTCCGCCTCGCGACCTTCCACCCTCCGGACCCGTTGCGCGCCATAAGTGGTGCGCGTCCGATGGCGATGCTGACGGTCGAGAAGGAAGGTCAGCTCCTTATGGATCACATCCTCATCACGGCATTGCTATTGCAGCAGGACAGCTATCTTGTTTCCTAATCAGAGATCTTGGCTGCATCGAACTCGTTGTACTGCGTTGGTTCTGGAGCATAGCTACGTTCCTACGAGTGTAATACAAGTAAGGCGCGTAATGGACAAGGCACTTGCAAATTAGGAGGCATAGAAAGTGACGGTGTCACTTTCTATCAACCTAGGTTTGTTCATCCTGATTATATAGATATTGCTAGCAGCTATCTAACCGCCGAAACGGTTCTGGCTTGATGCTGCACACATCTAGCGCACGACGCCCTTATATCTCCTACAGACCGCGAACGCATCCTCAGAACTCACTTATGCTACCAAATGGCCTGCAGAGATACATGTTTCTCTCTGACCCCACTCTCTCCGGCGCTGCTAAGGTAAGCCACAACCTTGTTATGAACCCCAGGCGTAAATTAACCTGCTGTGCAAGCTATTGCCACACTCACGTTGATCTCGATCGGCCTCCCTGGTGCTGTCCACATTTAATATTGTGCTGGCTCGCGACAGCGAGTTGCAAGAGAATGTCGTCCCTCCGCAGCACACAAACTCAACAAGTGTTCCCAGGACGCTTTCTACGCACTCAGACACAGAACCGGCCCTGACGTCCGGAACAAGCGCACTGGCACAGCCCGTCGTGCAGCCTTGGTGAGTACACGCTCCGCAGCATTTCAGGCCAGCCCAGCTCAGTTGCGCCCACAGGACGGCGTACAGCTTTTCGCAGAATATGCATCACACCATGCTCCTGCTTCCACCACCTAATGCTAGAGACAGCCGTCCACTATATCACCTTTCGGTCGAGACCAACTGTCTCCGCCCTTGGGCGCTCATCACTGTCGTCCGGTGCGGGAGCTCGGGGGAAGGGCTCTACGTCGAAGAGTTGGGGTGCGTCTCCGCGAGGTTTAGCAGATGCAGGAATTGCTTGGCTTACCTGTACGCACAGGATATGTCTGTTTGTAGACCTGCGCAGTCCATCGGCTCAGTTGCGAAGATCTTGACCAGGCCTGTGCTCACATAGGCTGACAGTAAAGTGCACTTGAACAATTTCCGTGCGTGGCCACGCCCGATGCTGATGTGTCGACCACAAGGAAGGGCCGCTGCGCCTGCGCCGGAACTTCGATGACACCGTGCTGTATCGAGACCCGGACCTCAATGCTCTCACGAAAGGTGAATGCAGTTTCCTGGTGAGTGATTTGATACGGCGCCAGACGGCGTGCAACGCTGACTCCCGGACTCAAGTGTAGCGCTCTCATCCAGGGCAAGAAGACCCGCTCCATCCGCGTCGCGACGTTCCACCCCCAGACCAGGCATTGCGCACTGCGGAGGGGTCCCGTGCAGCAGCGATGCTGAGCGTAGAGAACGAAGGCGTGCCATTCAAGCTGATGGACCACACATATCATTCTTGACGTGCTCGCTGTTACAGCAGCACAATATGTCACTGGCTGGTATTATTCCCAGTGGCGGTGACCTTGCAGATACAAATGACGGAGGCTCGTAGCAATATGTGTGCATTAATTACCCCTACCCTACCTATGAACCTCGCGTAGAGAGACGGATTGTGTCCATTCGATTGTTCACGACTCCGCATTTCCTTGCGTCTTCAGTGGGATAGTACTGTAGTGCAAAGATTTTCACAGACGATCTACTGATTGGCTCTAGATAGAATCACGAATGCTTCAGCGACTTCAGCTTCACTATGTTCTAATTGCCCGCAAAGGACACCGAACGGACTTTCCACGGGACAGTAAAGAACCTAAGGCTCTTTTGAGCTATCTTGGCATTTTACACAAATTTGTACAGCGAGAGTATGTGCCTCGGTGGTACATAAGCTGTCATTCTCTTTTCGCCTTTTCTTAATCAGTAAGTAACGATAGTAAAGGGCGCTTACTGAAAGTAAGTAAATCGTCTGCGCATCGGTAAGAAACGATAATAAAGGGCTGCTTACATGAGTCAAGATCTATGACTTTCCAACTTTGCTAGATGTCCCGCTATCTGGGATTCTCGACTGCCTCCTCTCGAAATAATCTCGCACTATGGGGTAGATAGAACACTACGAAACCTGAGCGTTCGTCTTGCGCGGCGTGGGCCAACTTCGCCTGGGGCCGGGGGCCAACTCCGCAGTCGGCAAGCTGGGTAAACTCGAAAAGAACCAGGGACGAGGTTGTGGTGGATGACAGGGACAGAAACGAGAAGCTCAGGAGAGCCATACATGAGCTACAAATTGTAAGTGACTATACGATGATGGTCAACTTAGGTCCTTCGACGTCGGTCCGTAAACAGGTCCGTCCGTACGAAGAGGTCGCATATGACGTGTACCGCTTTAAAGACTTCTAATGTCTGCCCATGTCGGCTGCGTATGGATCCCCCATCCTGCTCGGGGTGATGCCTGTCAGGCTAAAAGTGCTCATTGAAGTGAGGTAGCTGCATCACCGTCGTTGGCACACGGTTCCGGCTCCGGTCGACAACACGGGATCGGCTACTTTTCATGCCGTCTCAGGTAGCGGCGCATGAAGGTATCTCCACCGCTCCTCTGCCTATGAGCGGAGGAAAGTCGAACGGCCATCTTCATTTCCATTTATCCTGTAGATTGAAAATAATGCTCTTACCCATGCCTGTCCAAAATCATCGGCAGAGCTGTCACCCTCGACGTATGCGGGAACGAGGAATCGCATCGGAGTGATTGTCAACCTACTCGGTAGTCGTCAGGGACGCGTGTTCAACGTTCAGCACCGAGGTGGAACGGTGATCGGTACTCTAGAATGATATCCCGCGCAAGGCGTCGGAAACCTGGTCGGAACCGGAAACCCAGCACTGAGCAGACAAAGAAGCTCGTGGTGTACAACACAAAGTGAAGAGAGTGTGCGCTGACAAAAAGACGACGCACGCTCTGCGAGGATTGGGTGTTCTGCGTTGGGTCGGACACGACTAAAACAGCAAGCAAGTAATCTAGCGAGGAGCTAGTCAAGGTCGGATGAAGGGATCCGCGGATCCGATTACTGCAGATCGGATCGACCGGAGGTGGGCAAAAACATCGGCATCATGGGAAAGCGCGGCCAAAGCCAACTTCAAAATTGCAATATTCGAGGATTCGAGGAGCCATAAGGCTAGACTACTAAAGACTGGACAAGTATACAGCGTTGCTCGTGTATGTACTAAGGCTAGATACTCAGAACAATACATCCGATAAAAATGATATAATTCCGCAAAGAAGGAAAAGAATGCAGTATTAAAGTTATTGGGGCCCCGCGGTACTGCCCGATGCGATGTCGCGTAGTACCTCCAGTGCGGCGTCTGCCATCCGATACTCGGTTGGATGCTTCGCTGATGGTGGGCGTGGTACTTACCAACGAAGGGTAGCTTTGTAGCGAGCTGCTGAGTGGAGTTGATGAGCACATTGAATGCTTCTCGCTCCCTGGAACCGGACTGGGATATGCCGACGAGGAGCTCTCGGTCGTTGCGGATAGCGTTCGCAATGATGGTGAAGCAAAGCTAGGGGGTGGAGTCAATAACATGTACGATGCCAAGTAGCGTGATACGCACACCGAGCACGGACTCGAGCATCGCGTAGTCGTCGTCCTTCAGGCTTTTCGTTAAGCCGATGACCTCCAAAACGACAGACAGCGCTTTCTGCCGCGACTCCATGTGATACGTCCCGGGCATACGGTGCAGCTCAACCTGCGCGGCAAGGGCGATGATGATGCAGACTTTGAGACTAAGGGCATGCTCAGGGTCCGAGTATAAGCTTGTCTGGAGCATCTGTGGATAGAGCACCGCGACGTGCGATGTAACCTCCTCAATCGTCTCCCAGTACTGAGTGTGCCACTCCGACGAGAGCGCTGTGTGCTCGATAATGCCGCCAGAGGACGTCGCTGCAGTTGTTTCTGCACGCATCCGGCTCAGCTGCATGGCTTCTCTGAGCAGCACCAAGCTTTTGCAGCGCATCAGGACTATAGAGTGCTTCGCGAGCCAGGGCTGCATAAACTACGAGGCGCGGTGAGCCAACAATTCCTTGAGACGCCAGCCGATCACGCTAGTACTTACCGAGAGTAACTTCAGTTGTCGGTTATATTCCGCATCAAGAAATGGGGGATATGCAAGGACCATTTGCGCAAAGTTATCACTGTAGATGAAGTGCGCGATGGTCGTGACATGTTCCTTGGTGTCATCATCGGGCTCCTCGAGGGTCAACACGCCGTCCATGTGGGGAGGAGTCACCTGCATGTTGTTGGACACAATCACATGAGCCGCCTTGATCAGGTACTCACGGCCAACCTCCATTCTTTGGAGGTAGAGAGTGTACCAAGCAAGGAGGTGGTAGACGATAACCAAGGTTACTGGGTCTGGTGGGTCGTTGAGTGAATTCAGTATTGCACTGTGTTCAGCTTCTTCATCGACCACCAAAACATCGGTGTTGGTATGGGCGCGCCACAACAAGCTTCCCAGCAGCTGGGCGGCATGGACCACTGAAGGATGGACAACCCGCCCAGAGAAGTCGCCATTTCGGATTGCGTTGAGCTTGGATTCCCGGAGGTGAAAGCCCAGCTGTATTTGATGCTTCAGGAACAAGCAACGCCTTCATAGCAAAAATGGTAAGCATATTTCGAGAGATACCGTGGTGAACCTTACAGCTGGAAAGTATTCTGGCATATCAGCTCGGAACGACCACCGGGTCGAGGGGAGATACTCTGAAGCAGAGAACGAATGAAGTTCTCAATTGTAGGCTGCTCTCCAGGGGAAGATGACCGATCCGATTCCGACGACGAACTTGAGCCGGAGGATACGAGCGACAAAGAGGCGTGTGGGAACGCGCCTGCAGCAGAGATCAGCAGGCGGTATTGGCTGTAATGTACGTTGCTAACCTTGCTGCGGGAGCATCGAGAACGCCGGTGATGGCTGCCATGAGGGTGAGACGTAGAACGTCGCTGCGGAATCGATATCGTGGCCAGTGAACTGAGCTAGTCGCAGGTCCTGCGACTCATATTGAGCGAGACGTTCCTCAAGCTCACGGTTGCGTAATATAAGTGCGGTGGTGATGCTCTGTCGTATTTCCTCCTCATATTCACATTCATGCTCTTTGCCTGCCGTATGGCAAGTGTTGCAATACGGTCGTTTCGCATCGCATTTCTGTGCCAGACATCAATAGTAGTCATGAAGTCGAACACCACGCCGTATACCTTCTTCTTACGCCTAAAAAACAAATTGTCAGCGAGTATGCGGAACAGGAGCTAGGACCGTTCGGTACCTGCAAGGCAAACATGCAGCTCCCTTCTGGAGGAGCGCGCTCCTCCGTTGGGAGGTGGATGTGTTGCTATAGGCACACTCCACTGGCTTGCGTGCTCGTAAGCATGGTCCACAAATTGGAGACTCTCCGTCGCAGCGCTGAAAAACAATCAGGTGAGGAATTGCTTAGAGATGCGGAGCATCTCACCATCTTTCTCGCCCTGTGTGCGGCTTAGTGAGCGGATAACAGAGCGCGGAGTGAAAGGACGGCAGACCTGCAAGCCAAGCATGTTCGAGTCATGGTGAAAAAGGGATGCTAGAGGAGTTTAGAGAGCTGTGGGCGTATTCTATGCACTTGCTTTTTCGCTACGAAGTGGGCGACCTGAAGAAACGGGGCGTTGCGGCGGTGACCATCAATGTTGCCGGCAGGTCCCTAACGGAGTCTAGTGCAGGGGTGCGAAGGCAACATTCGCCAGCCAGCAACGCTTGTCTGCCCGCCGCGGTTTCATGAAAAGGGCGGTCTACTCGCTTATTTCCGTCTAATGCTGTAGTAGCAATGTCGTCTCCGTGCAGAGAGCAGCAATAGTAAGTCCGCGAAATCCGGAATGTTTCCGGCGGTAAGCGGGCGCTCTTTGGGCGTTAAATTAGAAGGCGCTAGGAAGCGAGCAGACGCCAGGTTTATGTTGAGTGACCGATTCGCGTCTGCCATCCAAGTCCTCTCTCATTTTCTGTCTCCCATTCGCCATTGCATGAGCCACCATGAGCATCAGTATTTTGGCTAACACGTGAGCACGACTGTATGTTCCTCGTTACCTCGTCAGATAGCAACTCGGCCAGCTCTTTACCTTCCAAAGTATACTTCGGTCCCGTAGAGCCAGTGGACAAAAGACATGCCCGCCTTCAGATGTCGAGCTGTCACGCGCCAGTTAGGCGTTCAACGGAACGCTCTGCTAATTCATCTCACCTTGCCTTTAAACTTCGATAAGCGGCTAACGGGGAGAGGACACTAGTACTGGTGCTGGATTCTCAGATGGGGTTATGGTATTGAACTCAGCGTGATCTAGGACAAGAACCGAGATAGATAACTTTTCTTCCCTACTGCTTTACCTTTTCTCCCCCGAATTTCTGCATTATGCAACCATGGCTAGCGGAAACTCTAGTTCGCTGCTTTTTTACGTGATCTCAAACGCTCAAGTCTGGGTAAGTTACATTGCCGCCGGACTCATACCAAGATAACTGCATCCACACACACAGAGATAGCACAGGCCGAACTCATAGTCTCCGCATCATAAGATCTTACAAAACTATCCTCTCAACCTCTGCCCTGCGCCTGAATAGCCCGAGCGGCGCTCCAGAAGCCTCCATTGCCGTCTCCTCTGCGAAGACACCGAGGCGCGCCGAGTTCGGATGCTCTCTGAACATCTGCAGTGCAGACCTCTCGAGCATGAGACCCTGCCGCGCCGGGTCAGCAAACCGTTCAGCAACGGCCACAAGCGGGTCCTTCAGTCGTAGCTGCACATGTTCGGCCTCGGTGTAGGTCTGCCCGTGTGTTCTCGCCCCGCCTGGGCCATAGAATATCATCTCTCGCGAGGAGGCGATGGCGGCATACATGCCAAGGACGAGGGACATGAGGCCGTATAAGAGCAGGAGCGCGATGAAGATATAGAGCGGGCCAACCTTGTATCGGCTCGCGACGCGTTGAGTGAGGATCTTCCCATCAGTCGACGCGATGGGCATGAGGAGCGGAGACGCGAGGGCCATCATCGCGAAGGAAAGATTCTGCGAGAGCAAAACGCTGAACACATTACTCGAAGTGTTCAGGTCTGGTGTTAAGGTGGACTTGAGGTAAGTTGCCAGATTGTCCGCGTAAGCATAGTCGAGGGCAGCAAAGAGAGCAGACGTAGTGTTGAAATTGGACATGACGGGTTCGGAGACGAATGAATAGGTGCCTAAATCTTCGGAAGCTGATGAGGAGTCGGCTGAGGTATACGACATGGAGACATTGTATGCCGTGACGGTGCATCCAGCGAAGTAGTAAGCGAGTTCGAAACCGGAGATCGAGTCCATGTACCATCCAGGCGTACTCCCAATCGGAAGTGACACCGAAAGCCCGTCGGAACCAAATCCGAAGGAGACGAGAGCACCAAACGGATTTAAGTTGGAGTTGAGAGGATATCCCCACCAGCTGTATGCGGGCTGGGTGTCACCGAGCTTGTTAGCTGTGACGTCGTACTCCTGAACACTCGAACTCCCGTTGATGTTAAACGTACTGTTCGACTGTACGTTGAGGGATGGGCAAGCAACCGTACTCGAATAAACAGTGTCCGTAGTACAACTCAGCACGGGCTGGCAGCTTGCGGAGATGGCGAAGGTGTTGAAAGTTGCGTTCAGCACGTTCGTTGGGGGAGACGCAGAGACGAGTACCGCGTAGTCGTCGACAATGATCGATCTGAACTTTGTGCTCCCGTTCTTGACTGCCTCAAGGCCCTCGTTCATAAGCGAGGCGTTCCCCCACCGCTCGACAACACCGTGGACATTAGGAGTGGCGAAATGGGCGCAGTTTGTGTAATTCTGAGGCCCAGGAGGTAGAACCGCATTGTTATATGTCATGGTGAGCGCCGGACCAGGGCAAACGCTGAGATCAATGTCGGAGCCAAGGTGAGGAAGGACCTCCGGCGAGCTATCGTGGATCTCGGTGTGTACGAATGCTCGGGAGGTGCTGTGCATCCAAATATCTACAGCACTGATGATATTGACGCCATCGCTCAGCTAACGTTGTCCGAGCAAGTAGAGACACGTGCATACCTCAGAGCGTAGGATGTAACGAGCATCAGGATCACAATTATCATCGTGAATAGCAGCATTGGAGCCGCTTTAGCCCTCTGCCCACGTCGTAGGCTGAGGTATATCCCGGATTCGTACACGCTCATGAGAGACGGAGACGAGCAGAGCTTTATGAGAAGTCCATATTGAGCGGCCGTCGGCATGTCTTCAATTCGACGTCCCTCTTGTACGCGAAACCAATCTCTAGCAATTCCCAGAGCAAACACACCGATGACGACAGGTGTGGTAAAGGGGACGACCTTCGTCTGCAGAGGCAGGAGTCGACGTCAGTCAGGGAGTCTGCTGGGCCGCTTCGAATTAGGCATGCTCACCGCGACCGTGGCAATCGTCAGGCCATACAGAGTAGAGTCCAGGTTGACAGTGCCGTCAGTGTTCTCCGTCGGGGTAGAAGAGGAACTCTCGAGCACGACAATCGCCCCGCTGAACTGCTTATCTTCGCTTGGTAGGTGGTCGCTCACACGGCGGGTGAACAACTAAAAGAGTAAGGTCGCAGCAATGGCGAAGCTGCATAGTGCTGCGGCAGAGGCAGGGAGCCATACCATAGAGCGTGGACGGCGACGTCTGCCGTAGGAAAACCCATCGGACGCATGATATGCAGACCTTCCTTCGCCGTTACGACGGCTTCCCCACTTTTTCCCTCGTATTCTTCAGTATCTAGGCGTGCGTATTCCGGGGATGGTTGGAAGGACATCGGACTCGAGCTCTGAGAGGTGAGATAAGTGTCAGGATTGGGAGGTGATGACTCCTGAGAGGAATGCATGGTGGGCTCCGGGGGCCTCTGCGCCTCAGTCCCACCCATGAGAAAATACATGTTGACGCACTAGGACCCATTTGCGTTCGACGAGATGACCGGGATCGAACGTTGGAGGTTGACAGCAATGCCATCTCGGTTAGATATTATTCCTGGCATGTGATGTGGGAAAGGAGTTGAATTAATCTACCATGCCCCCGTAACTCTCTACATAGCGTCTGGATGACTCGAAACCTGTACTGCAGAATTGGGCTGCTGTGGGATTGTGCCAAACTGAAACATGCGACCAGTATGGCGTTCATCTGTACGATCATTCTGTTCCCGACGCTAAACGTAACCGGAGGAGACTAGTGAAAAGGCTATTGACTGCAGGGACATACCGATTCAATGTAGTGACGTTCTTCGACAAAGAGCTTCGCGAATGGGTTGCCGAAATAAGCTATGGCGGATGTATGTCTATGCTGATTTCGGGGCACGATGACGGTAAACGACCGCTACTCCCGCTGCGCTGATTCGGCGGGCTAGCTGCCGCCTGCAATGTCCCGCGTGCGTGCACGTCGACGTGATATGACTGCAAGGCACAACTACTCGCATGACATTGCACATCACCAACTTAGGTCATATCACGGCTCCGAAACGCTATCCGATGCGCTCCATCTCCTTGTAATCTGCGAGCCGTGTCCAGCCCTGCGGCAGGAGTCTCGACACGAGCCGGTTCAGACTCATATGAACATCTCCGGAGCGGACTCGGTGGCCTCGAAGAGCATGCTCCGCCACTCCAGCCCTGCGCCGTACCCTACAGCGACGACGGCGACAGGTGTCTGAGAACTATGCTGAAACTTCCCTCTTCCCATGTACGCTGAGATGGGATTGCCACGCACCGTCAGGTCAGAGATCAACTTGAAGTTCACGAACGCCGGGGTGAAGCGCGAACAGATGTCCTATTTTGGCCCGCTATCTTATCGCCGATTAACTGTGTTTGGAATGCCCCTGGATTAGACTGCCGAGTAGACCGCCCCGGAATTTTGTCATAGTAATCCACGTCTATCTCGTAAATATTCTTGTCGAATAGAGAGATAAATGGTATGATCACGCATATTGCAAGATCTGGCAGAGAGCATCTTTCATACGAATGCCGGCCGGATGCATCAGTGGCCGAACTTCAAAAGTCCCACATACCGGATAGGCTCTATCAGTGCTGTTTCAAGCAGCCACTAGTGAAAGCTTTGTTTGCCGCAGCTGGTAGGTATAGGCGGTGGCCTTCATTATTATTAATATTGCACCTCAGGCATCTGTACCTGGCGTCATGGCAGTCGCGCACGAGATTTGCACGCTATGGTGTCAGTTCTCTAAGTCTGCGTTAACCAGAACTTGAACGCAAAAGTGCACGAAGATGTCACGGACGGCTGTGACTCTGGCTTCACCATCCTGGGCATACCGGAATAAAACAGCGAGAGGGTTTTCGTCCGCCACCGTGCACCACTACATGATCTAGCCACCATACGTACAAACCACGAGTGTTACGAAATGCTGCAATATTCAGCTTTGATGAGTCACACCACTGGCAATGATGTACGACGAGACGAATGTTACTGTCGTTCCTACTTAGCGATGCGCGACTCGGAGCTGACTAGTACAATACTAGCACCTAGTTTTATGTGGCAACTGTGCCCCGGGAGAATAAGATAATATGCGTAATCTTCTTTGTTATCCAGCTGCCTGCCCAACTTCTGTGCAGATATTCCGGAATAAGTCTTGTGTGCGCGAGGCGAAACCGCGAGCGGCGAGACGGAAAGCCTCATCACGAGTCACGTGATTCACGCGCCAGAACTTTTGTGGCGTCTGCGCCGTGCGGTAATTGAATCTCATTTTCACCCTCCTCCAGGCCCCGCGACCTCTCATGCAAGTCCCTTACTTATGACTGCCCATATTTTGTGCTTATGTTGTTTTACAGAACTTGAAGGGAAATCTTGGCTACTCGAAGCTCTCCTCGCAGTGTCACAATCTTGAAACGCCGTGACTGTCGAGATATTGTCGGCCATTCAAATATACAACTTTTCACGAAAAATTTGGTGGAGGACGGCTCTCCCCTAAATCATTGATACTCGATACTCGGGATTACTCCACCGAAGAACGGCCCACACATGTCTTCCCTAGCTCCTGTCGATATGCTTCCAGACGACGTGGCATTCGAGATCCTGCGGATAGCGTACGCACATTCGACATTCCCGTACTGCGGCAGTAATCGTTTTCAGTTGTATATGAACTCTCCAATTCCCATCAGTCACGTTTCACGGCGATGGAGAGACCTTGTTCTGTCCCTACCGTGCCTCTGGAACTGCATCCATATCATTCCTTCTGAGTGGAGGGATGACGTGGACGTAGTGCAGGCATACATCGCACGTTCCGGTCGGCTCCCACTCTCCGTCGAATTCGACTGCAGGATGAACGACGCCGAAAGTGATCATTCTGAATCGGATAGCGATTCAGAAGGATCACACGATTGTCCTTGCGACGACGTCTGGAACGCGCTGTTCAAGGAGAGGACGAGATGGGAGCACTTGGTCCTCGACGCTCGAAATGCCGCTCACCTAGCTTCATTTACGAAGCAAATCAGTGGAGAAGTCTTCCCAGCTCTTGAGTCTCTCCAGATCCCTTCATACGAACCTGGTCAGGATATGCGAGTCCTCGACATCACGGCCCCAAAGCTGACGCAACTGCGTGCTACCAGCTTCTACTACGCTCGCACCGTCTTGCACTCGACCCCGCTGCAACTGTTCTCGAGGCTGACGACGCTCGAACTGGTCCACTTCTTCTACGACGTCCCGAACCATGTCGTTCGGTTTCTGGACATGCTGCGCAGCGCGTCTGCAACACTCCAGGTGCTGGTACTGCGCCATGGCTGCTTCAACGTGCCCATCCCCTCCGCCTCCCTTGGAGTCATGCCCACAGACTTCCCTCATCTAACATTCCTTGTCATCGAGTCAGTACTCGAGTACCATGACGCCGACTACAACATTGTTTCAGAGCTGTGCAGGGCCGCCCGCTCACTAGACAGGGTGCACATCCTGGGCCACAGCATCATGTCCTTCCACTCCTACCTCCACTCCGGTACGCTGGAGTTCCCGACTGTCCGCCATCTCCGGTACTACATACCTGACGAGACAGCCTGGACCAACTTCATACCCGCCTTCCCGCTCCTTGAGGAGCTCCAGATCTCAGGCGGCGACCCGACGTCTGCGCTCAGGGCCGCGATGAGCATGGACGACGCGGCCGCGCGGGGCGACGGCGCACCGGCATGGCCGTGCCTCCGGACCCTGGTGCTCCTTGGGCCGAACGAGTACATCGCACTCCGCTTCATGCAGCACCGCGCTCGCGTCGGGCGGCCGCTTGCCGATGTGACCTACGCAGGATGGTTCAGTGCGCAGGCCAAGCGAACGTTCCAGGCCCTGAACGCCACGTTCACCCCCACCCGCAACTCCCCGGCGTTCGGCGAGGATTACACCAAAGACTGGATCGAGTACTGGCTGACGATAACCGGAGAATTGGATTTCTCGCCCTGGCATGTTCTATCGCCTAGATCATTCCCCCGCGAGCTTACGTAGCCTTGTGCTTCGCCTCCTGAGTTATGCGGTAGATATCATCCGAACTTGCAACTCCCCGCTCGCAACTGCCTAGTCTTCTCATCATCAGGAACATGGAGAAAAGAATAGGAGATAACAATAGTCCCTTTGCATTACGGTAGGATGCGAGATAAATATGGAAGAAGCAGTACAGCAAGTAAGAGCTAGGATAGTCGCAGTCAAAGGATCCCGAGTAGTACGTTAACAGTCAGAAACAAACGAGACAATAGAACTGAAAATGAGCAGAAAGTCTGTGGGGAGCGAGGAAACGAAGCTCAGCTCCGCTAGGCAAGCAGCCCGATGTGTAGGGCGGTTGGTCTTCGAGCGATGACGGTTGGAAAGAGACTACAGCAGTTGCTTAAAGCCAGATTCCTTGCACTTCTTGACGATGCGTTTGACCTCCTGGGACCGTGCACGCGTGGTGACGAGGAGCGTGTCGGGCATGTCGACGATGACTAGGTCATCAACGCCGAGCAGCGTGACGAGGCGGCCAGAGCCGGGCACGACAATGCCACCGGCGACTTGCTCAGTGAGAACTGCAAGGGTATGAGCGACAAGCTGCGAGAGCAAAAGAGGGACACGTACCGAGGTTGTTGTCGCCCAGTACGCGTGGCTGATTTGACTCTGCGGGCAGCAGGTCGGCGAGCGAGGAGAAGTCTCCGACGTCGTCCCAACCTGGACGTCGACACGTCAGGAGTGAGCAGATCACGAGGATAGACATACATACCGAAGGTGGCGGGGACAACAGCAACACGGCGATCCATAGCGGCGGGCTCAGCGACGGCGTTGTCGATGGCGATCTTCTCGAGACTGGGCCAGATGTCGTCGAGGACCTTCTGCCTCAGACTTTCGTCGTCCCAGGCAGCAGCGATCTTCATGAGACCGTCATGCATCTCAGGCTTATACTCCTTGAGGAGGTCCATCAGGAACGTGGCTTTCGTGACAAACATTCCGGCGTTCCAGCGATAGTTACCTGTCTTGATGTATGCTGCAGCGGTGCGCGCGTCTGGCTTCTCCTTGAAGCTCGAGACGAGGCGCGCGTTCGGCGCGTTGGACATGCCCACCTTCTCACCGAGACGGACGTAACCGAAGCCAGTGCTGGGGTGCGACGGCGCGATACCGATGGTGACGAGGTAGTCCTGCTTCGCAACCTCGACGGCCTCTGCGACCGCAGCGAGGAACGCGTCGTCGCCGGAAATCATGTGGTCGGCGGCGAAACTGCCGATGATGGCGGCTTCGTCCCGGTGGGCGAGGATGGCGGCGGCGAGACCGATGGCAGCCAGCGAGTCCTTCGCGCTCGGCTCGCAGAAGATGTTGTGTGCCAGGAGGTCAGGGAGCTGTTCGCGGATCTTCCTGACGTGTGCGGGGCCTGCGACGATGGTCGTACGGGCGGCGCTGGTGAGAGGAAGGAGACGATCCCATGTCGCTTGAATCAGGGAGCGACCCTTGAGGGTGAGGTCAAGAAGGAATTTCGGGTGTTCCTCACGAGACAACGGCCAAAGACGGGTCCCTGCGCCTCCCGCAGGAATGACCACGTAGAAACCGGGAATCTCTCGGCAGGTGAAAGGGAATTGGGAGAGGGCATTGTCGCCCAGTGGTGATGGAACAAATATGCTGGTGGGTACAGCTAGTGAAGGAATGGAGGCGGGCGAGAGGAAGGGTGATTTTGCGCGCAGTTGCGGGCTGCTAGGAGCTGGCGTGTTGAAACCCGTCCCGAACCTCGACCCATTGCCGTTGTACTAGAATGAGTACGTGTCAATAATAGCAGAACGACAGGGACAGGATTTAAAGATAGTATAATGTGAATATAGAATGACAGCTCACCTGTATACCCTCTTTGATCTGACGTTCCAGGCTGGCATTGGCTTGACGCAGCTCATGAGTCTCTGACCGGAGCTCTGCAATTTCCAGTTGCTGCAAGACGTCATTCAGCCTCGATTCCTGCAGTAGGAGTGGCGACGAACCGACTTGTGAACAACCTCCATAATTTGTTTGAACATTAGCTCGATGTTGCCGAGGCTGTTAGCCTGGCTGCTTGCTCGCTGTTGCGACATCGGGGCGGCGACGAAAAAAAGTGGTTCAGAGAAAGGAGAAACTGGTGGGCCAGGTGCCGTTTAAAAGAGACGGAGACGTGGTCGGTCGACGGAGAGTTAGGGCTTGGGAGACCGCGACCATCTGGCAAGTTGTCTGGCCCATCGGCATTCTCCGACCGGAACCAGAATTAATTGACGGACACGTTCGCAGCTTTCAACTTTTCCTCGTCCATGGCAACGTGCTTGAACAGAAATCATACAAGACCAGATGCGCCTTGACAGTTCTGCAAGATTTCAGACCTTCAGGGTGTCACCTGAGATTCCTGCTGGATTTTATTTCGCACGAGAGGTGAGATGCAGGGCCTGGCACAGCCTAGCGTCTGTGGCGGCCAACCCGAGCTTGTCCTCGACTAATCCAAGACTCTCGCACCAGGCCTTACAACACTGAATGAGTCTCTTCTCGAACTCGGAAGAGATCGAGCCATGGTAAACCCGACGCGCTGCACCGCAGAGTCAGGTGCATATCCCGGCTCATAGCTCCACATAAAACGCCGTAGTCTCTCCTGCTGCGGCGGCGAAGTTGTCTTCGAAGGCTGTACAGTTTCAGAAAACTCTCGGGCGCGACGGTGCGTTCTCTCCGTTCTCGGTCAGAACATGCCTTCGCTGCTGCCAAAGATAGTTCGCGTAATTGGACCCTTCCTGAGCTGTCAAGTTGCACACAGGCGATGACGTGCGCTTGGGATCGTCCGAAGTAGGTACCCGGAACAAGCTCACCGTCGATCGAGAGACGAGTGCGGGCAGAAGAGCCGCGTCCCTGATCAGAAGCTCCGAGGAAGAGGAGATGCCTGGCCTTGTCTGATCCTTCGAGGACGAGCCCGGATAGCATAGGACACTGGTGCATTTCAGGTTCTACGAAGAGCACGAATAAACAACGAGAACCTATGCCATTTTCGAGGAATAGCTTGAGCTACAGGTATGTCCTTGTCTTGGATGTCATGGCAACGCCGCTCCACTAATGTAACGTTCTCGAAATTCGGCCTAACAACTGATAACCGACTTAGGGCTGGTTGCCGCATATAGCGCGGCGCCGATGTTTATGTCGGCATTCTTGCAATGAACGACGCCCTGCATTGTCGGGCAAGTACCTTTCAGGTCGTACAAAATAGCAATATCCTCGCCGTCAAGAACAGAGCGCCGAGTATGTTGCGGGCCCTGAACGTTGAACGTCGAACGTTAGAGAGTCAGTCGATCAGGTCGCCAGCTGTCGCTACGGAGGCTTTCCCCTGATCGAAGTTGGACTTGCCCCGGAACCGAGGTTCCCCACAATCCACAAGGCTGTCATGAAGCGAAGCTCTGAAAACCGATAGTTCATCTGCCAAGAACGAGACTGAAAAAGATTGTTTTCTGCCTATCGCATACTCGGTGCGGACCGCCATGTGCCAAGTCGGCGCCAAGTGTACAGGGTACACCTTTGCTGCTCGGACAGCGTCAAGTCCCTCAAGCCGCGGGTGGTGGATGAGCGGTGCAGCTAACGTGTGGAAGACGTTGCAAACCCACCCGTTCCCCGGTTTCGAAGGTGCATGTCGCCGTGCAGAGATGTCGACGTTCATGCAATGAACGACGCCCTGCATTGTCGGGTAAGCACCTTTTAGGCTATATAAGATAGTGGGGTCCAGTACACATCGCACCGTTAAGAGCGGAGCACTGACTGCTGCTGGCCCTGAACGTTACCGTTAGAGAGTCAGTCGATCCAGATCGTTTATGAAGTAGACGATGTAGCTACGGAAGTTTCCCCCTGATCGAAGCAGGACTCGCTCCGGTACCAATGTTCCCCACAATCCACAAGGCTGTCACGAAACGAAGCTCTGGAAAACAATAGTTCACTTGCCAAGAACGAGACTGAATAAGAGTGTTTTCTGCCTATCGCGTACCTGGCGTGGACCGCAACGTGCCAAGTCGGCGCCAAGCGCACAGTGCGCTGCTCAGGCAGCGTCATGTCGCCCAAGCTGAATCCAGGACACGATAAAGTGCAGATGGAACGTGAGCAGTGCAAGTAACGTGTGGACGACGTTGAAAACCCACCCGTTCCCCGGTTTCGAAGGCGCATGCCGCCGTGTAGAGATGTCGGCGTGCCAACGACGGAACCAGCGATATTAGCGCTCAAAGGGAAGACGACTGCTCTCTCCGCCACCGCCGACGCCTAGACCCTGGACTCCGTGATCGCGGTGTGCGAGGAGTGCCTCTAGCGGCGCTCGTCCCGCAGTTGAGATACCGGAAACACTGGCTAAGCGTCGAGCGCGCGTGCAGGCCGCCTTGCGAGATCTAGGCCCTGGGACACGCCACAAGGACAAGTGTGGATGTTACGTATCGAGCCCACTACCGATCCTGTGCCCTTCCGCCAGCCGTCGACGCTTCAAATATGCTCACATGACGGCGTAAGCAGGCAATTTGTGCCTGGGAGCGTACTGCGCACGCGCCAGCAAATGAATCAGCACGACTCACTGAGCTAGGCGTCGATCGTAGTCCGAGTCTATGCCCTGGACAGGACGGCTGCTCACCAGAGCGCAATTGAGGACCGTCGCAGTCATGTCTGCTGTGAGCTTCGGAAACGAATGTCTCGGGACATGCAAAGTCTGGTCTGGTCAGGCCCGCTGTCAAGGCAGAAGTCGACCTCCGACGGCGACTTCTCGATACGGGCACGTGTAGACTGTCGGTATCGTCCGTGCAAGAACTGCGCTCGCGGGGCGGTTAGTCTGTTGTTACTGGTGACCCCGCGGGGGCAGTGGCGACTGGGGTGCTTTCAAACGCGCAGAGGCAGTAACCGGCGAGCTCGGGGCACTCTGCATGTAGGACCTTGCCCTTGAGACCTGAGGTACTTTGCTTGACGCCGCGGCTCGCTGTGCCGGTTTAGACCTGTTTGAGACTATCGCAAGGCGTACCTCGGGGGCATTTGAGGATCGCGCCGCACGCCGTCTGCCCTTGCCCAAAGACGGTCGCTGAGCGGGGCAGAACTATTACCTGTAGCTGCAAAGCAAGGCGATCGTGATTCAGGAATATTAGCGGGATGAAAATTGCCCTGCCTACCAGGCTCAACGTGAAACACGCCTTACGAGCTCGAGGAGGATCGGAATAACACCCTGCGACAAATGAGAAGTCAGAATATGTCATAGAAAGATCATTTCAAGAGGCGTGCTGATTGTAGCTCACAGGAAGCTGCAAGAACGCTTGTAGGCGCGCGTCGACTTACGTGCAGCCCTCCGAGACATTCGCACTTCCCGCTGTTCGGCAAACGCCATCAACTGGAGAGCTTCCTGAACCGGTAGGGTCTTAACGCTGGGCGACCGGAAGCAGATCGAAATATTGAAGTCGCGTCTGTCCTTGCGACTCATAGGCTCTGCATCCGTCTTGCAAGCATTCACCAGACAAGAAAATACGACCCTAGCTGCACAGTTTGCGTAAGTCTCCGAGCATTTTAGCCTCGATCGAACCCGTCAGTCTCTGGCGTCATGGCTCGGCTATTCTTTTTATGCAACCAACTAGCGTGCGCATCTCGAATCTCGCTTGTGCCTCGCAACGTAAACTTTCTCGAGGGATCAACGAATGCAGATTGGCTCCCCGCGATTCCTGCCTTACTCAGTTGGCACCGCCTGGGTTTCCGGCTCGAGCCTACTCCTTTGCCCTGGGCGACTTTGGCGGTTCGCAGGCGCGGTGCGGGTCACAGGGTCTTGTATGTTCTCAATTGGCTGAGAGTGCGCTCCGCCGTCCTTGCTCTCAGCCACCACCCCGCGTGGGACTTATCCAGCACGACGCTGCACTATATCATTTCACCACGGGTCCTCCAACCCTCCTCCGATCATCCTCTCTCGCCTGCGTCCTGGATAGCGACTTCACCGAGATCCTTCCCTGTCCTGCAGGGCCTCAAGGATGAGTTCAACCTCGGATGGGGCTCAGCACTTTTCGAGCAGTCTTGGTACGTCATTTATGACACGTCAAATACTACTGAGGTTGACCGCGCACAACTAGACGGAGCCACAATCTGCGTACTTCTCTGGAGCGGTTTGTACTTGTGAGTTTATCGCGCTTCCGCTGCTGCTCTGCCATTCACAGATCACGACCCTGCAGATGGGAGATCGTAAGAGCCCTGCCGTTCAATTGGATGGTCCTCTCCGGCAAGAGGGGGTGTCGATGGGGAATTTTCGTCTTATACTGGCCTTTTCGTACCCTTGCTGCTCTTTCCTTCGCGTTCGCCATCATCAATATCTTCCCGCCTCAATGGCAGCCCCACTCCGTGAGTCCACCGCTCTCGTGGCTGCCGATCACCGCTTACGCCAGGCCAGGCCCTGACTTTGCACTATGTGGGCGAGGTGGGATCTCGAGTGATCCTTGCTGTAGCAGTATGCTGATTGAACGTCGACGCCCAGAGTGTAAACATGATTGCACGAGTTATGGTGTATCATATGCTCACAATCCAAGTGTACGCTTCACTTCACATCACTTCCGAACGCGACCCATTGACAATCTTTTCCAGAGCTGCCGTATGGAAGAGCTGGTCAGTTTCATATCCCTTGGTAGCAGGAATGTTGTCAGTTTGGGCCGTCACCGCCTTCTGTGCGTGAAGATATCTGAACTCCAGGATCTGATTTGTTGATTTTACGTTACTTTGCAGGTATCTCACGTATACGAACTGACTGGGGGGCAACCATCATGCTGAAGGTCTTCACTAGCTGCTGTACGCCTCTTCTCCGTTCTTGCGAATTTCAAGTGTTGACACTGTCGCCAGGTCTGTGCCTTTGCACAGCTATCTTCGCCTTGTTTGTTGCCGGCCTGATAAGAGCTCGAGCGCAGAGCCGCAGCAACCCTCTACATCAAAGATACGGTCAGATGTCACCCTGGGCGATGCTGCGGGAAGAGCGGGTCCAGTTCGTCGTCCCGCTCTGGGTGGCGCAGGTCATTGATTCGGTTTGTTTAGTCGTCTTGCGCAGTTCTCCCCATTTACTCAAGTCCGTCCATTAGTCGACGAAGCTTGCTGCGAACAGAATCAGTGAGTAACTTCTCCATTCAATATATCCTCACAGGCTAAATCTGTTCTCAATCTACATCAGGTGGTTTCACTGTAAGTGGCTTCTTTAAGATCCCACCGTGCTTGCTGGAATTGAACTTCACTTCTGCTAACCATCAGGCAGTCGGCATCACTTGTTGTAAGTTCACGGGCTCTCACGTACTGTTCGGACCGTATTTCTCAACGACCTTGTTTTCCCAGATATCGTGATGTACGTCTCCATGCCAATACACGAAGACAAGATATGGCTGATGCAGTGCCCACTTGTAGCATCGTCAGCGGAGGCAGAGCTTACCAGCACATGGTGAACCACAGCGACGTCTGCCCGATGACCCGCGTGCCTTGCCTTATAACCTCCGTGTATGTGTTCTCATCCCACGCTGAACGCCTTGGACTGAGACTTTATCGACCAGCGTCCGGTCGAGCAAGAGCAGGCCGAAGGGCGGCGACCTCACCGACGGCTCTCCCGTCGTGCGCCTATCGCAAGAGCGCCAGCACTCGCAGCTTTTCGGCTGCCCCCACCAGCATAGGCGCACGTCCACGTCGACCAGCAAGTGCGTCACACGGCACGACGTCATTGAGCTCGAGATGCTGAACAGGTAGGCTCGTCCCGCCTCCTTGTGCGTACCTCGCTTATGTGAAGCCGCAGCCTCGACCGCCTGCCGTCCGCCGCGTCGGGCGACACAGCGAAGCATCCGGTGACCGACGAGTCGGCATCGTCCGCCGAGGTCAGGTCCGTCCTGAAGGACGCCGACGCCTCACTGAGCCCGTGACCCTGCCGAGTGAGTGCACCCGCTCGCTGCTCGCACGCAGATCGCAGTAATCCATCGCAAACCCCGTCTCGTTGATCTCTTGATCGCTCGTACTATCCCCATGGGCGCCACCGCACGCGCCACGCCGCCCGTGGTACGCTAGATCGTGTCGACTGTCCCGCTCATGTTCGGCCGTACACGCATGTAGCCTCTGTCCTCTATATCTCCTCTGCCCCTGACATTCGTTTGCAATTCGCGTGTATAGAAGAACGAAGCGCGCGCATACCAATCCCTGACACACGTACTCACGACAGTGTGTTTTCTTTATATATATCTCCGTTTGAGCCCTCCTCTCCGTGTCTCGATTTTGACAACCACTGTAGCTATAGTCGACGATACCACAAGTGCTATTGATGCATCTGCTACGCATACAGAGTACCTCACGGTTCATGGTGTGGCGGGATAGAATTACATGGCGAGCTGAGAGCAAGGCTCTCGTACATTATTTAGGTATCGGTACTAGTCACAGTCCGCAACCCCAGTGAGGTCAGCATATGATACACTCGTTGTCTGGTTTTGCCAGTCGTGCTTCCAATCTCGCAGTCAGGGACCCGTCGCTCGCGATATATGTGCATCCACTTCCAGACAAAGTGTCAGGGCATCATCCTGGTTCAAGATATCGATAACAAACTCACTCAAACTGTAAGCTGTGGCCCATCTGGCTCTTGCTGAGTGATACGGAGATGTGGCGATCGAAATCGTGTTGCCGGTTCAGCTCCAGTGGGGCGAGTTGCTCGCCCGATGTCTTGAGACGGAGTTCGATCTGCGGCATTGACTTATTCTCCAGCACGCCGTTGATGATAGACTTCGCGGAAGCCTTCGAGGAAGATGGTGTGCCAGGCTGTCTTCGCGTATCATCGATGAGCAGGTGCGAGTCGATCCACGTCGGCGGACTGTGGTCCATCAGCGAAAGCGAGACCACCCATGCGCCTTTCTCAGCCATATGATAGCTTATGCCGTCCGACTCGAGGAACTTCAGGCACCACATCCGACCTGCATGAGCTGAGTGCGCACCACAAGATAGACTAGAATGAGGACGTACCTCGGGCGATGAACTCCAGGCACACCTGCTTAGACACCCTCATCCGCCTCTGAAACTGCGGTATCCGGAAGGATGCGATAAACTCTCCCTGATTGCCGGCAAGTTCTTGAACGACGATCTCGTCAGGCGGTATGTTCGCACCGAGCAGAATTTCATCTTTGCCTGAAAGTGGCGAGAACGCCGGCGTGCGTCGCAAGCGTTGGAACAGGACCTCGTCCGAGGTCTGCAGGCACGCGAGCCGTATTTCGGAGACGGCGGCGTCGGACAGTGGCATGGCCATGGTGAGCATCGCCTCGACGAGCTCGAGACCCTCGGGGCCGGGTTGGTCGCGTGGGCGTTTTATGATTGCCCAGTATATCGCCGAGCGTCCTTCGATGCTCTGTTCCTGGAGAAGCGAAGCGAAGGAAAGGTTGTGCGACGCGCAGGCCTCCTCGCAGTTGCGCAGCACGGAGAGGGCAGCAGCGTCAGGCACTTTGACGACATCTCGGATGAGGTTCATGACCGTCTTCTCGACTTCTTTCGTCGCTTTCGACTGACCAAAGTTGAACCATCTTCCCTTGCCTTTCGACGATGCTTTCTTGGCTACTAGGGGTGGAGATAGGCCCGAGCTGCTGGAGGGTGACGGAGGAAGAGAGGGGGACTTGAGCTCAGTGGAAGGTCCTGCATCTTTCTCCGGGAGTGGTGGAACAAAGCTGGAAGAGCTCGAGTAATCGTAGGCTGGAGGTGCGTCCTCTGGAGTGGGATCGTCAGGAAGGAGCTGTTTGTCGATGATCATCTTGCAATGACTCGAACCTGAGGGTGTACAATTCCGCAACCTACAGCGGCGGGGCTATATTGTCGAGGCTGCTGATAGTACGACGCTGTGAGGCTATGCGTTCTACACTGCGGTCCCTGCTGCGAATCCTACTATGCTGCGGCGGACGTTCAGAGCTCAGATGTGTACCGCCAATCGGCGACTGCGCCGCGGGGCGGTTTTGATGGTTCCTGCTTTCTTCTCCGTCTCTCACTGGTTCGCGTTGAGAATAGTTTGTGATTTAAGCGCAAACAATGGCTATGTGTTTCGTACTTGTGCAGGCGATGCTACAGGACAGAGACGATGAAATTCGTGCAAGGGAGTGGGGACGGAGAAAGATCAAGGTTAGCGCCGATTGAGCAGCGATAGCACCTAATATAGCAATTTCACGATTATCGGTGTTCCGTCAGAGTACCAACGCTGATCAGACACGCACTACAGGGCACCTCCAAACCGTGAAAATTTTGAGGTATATGAGCTAAAAAGCAGTATGAGAAAATCTGGGGTAAGTAGTGTAGGCTGCCTCAGTCTAATCTAATCTCTATGGATTGATGATAAACGCCCGTGGTGGCGTCCCTGTTCTGAACCTGATCTCCAGCTGCTCTCCGCACCAAGATGATCGAGTGTCGAATACAAGATGGTGATTATACCATCTATTTTCTTGATTATATCATGAAACCATGTCATTCTCGCAAATATCGCCGGTCAGATCCCGAGCATACCTGGTGCGTGGAATGTGGACTGCCCCGCGAGCTGGAGTTAGTGAATTCATGTACCCCGATAGCGACAAAGAGCAAATCTGGATCACAGTTTCCTCTAACAGATTCACTGTACTTTATACAGAATTGATTTGTACAGTCTAGAAGGTCTCTAGCTCTAGGCACCACTTGATGTGAGGTTCGTTCTCCAGCGGTCTCGAACTCTGACGGGGAACTTGAAGTTGGATTTCAAGGGTAGCGACCCTTGAAGACAACAGTAACCACCCCATTCGAACCCAGATGAGGTCAAGGGGCAGAATGCTGCTCTACCCGGAGGTGCCAACGGCGGTCGCCGCGGTGAGTTTTGAATCTATTTGATGTGCCCGGGTGCAATGGTGCTGCTCGTACAGCTCGCTTTCACTGCTGCGCTCATCCCCCATTTCAGATTGTTTCCATGGCTTTGAAACAATATAATGGCATAACTGAGTCCTGTAGTCCTGTTCGCGTCGATAGTCCGGGTAAGTCTCGCAACTTTGTCTCCGTCGCAACCACTGCTGTCACAGACAGTGGTGTGGGGCCAAGCATCTCAGCTGGTCCTTGAAAGGGCAAAAGCGGGTTGACATTAGTTACCCACGCATCTACCACATTTCATATCCACATCACTCATGGTCTCGCCGAAGCGTGACGTACTGGTCCATAATGGCCTGGCCGGTATATTAAGGCGTAGAAGCACTCGTCTTCGTAAGTCTCGCCGATGTACCATCTGCTACCGTACATCTAGCTCTTCCATAACGTGTCTTTCCCCGTTCTGATACTGCAACGGTCGGTGAAAGCTCGGTCGAGTTTCCCTCGTTGAGAGTCTCAACGAGGAGTCGACAGTCCCTGCGGAGGAACCAGGGGGAAATACATGCTGAGGAATTATGGTTTAACGTAACTGGAGTAGGACTGTCGTTGCTGAAGGAAATATGCAGCGACGGCGAACCACCACTCCTGCCTATAGGGGTTATCTCGGTGGCGGATTGGAAAATCGAAGCGTCTGTTTGAGTCGGGACTCCCATTCGTAGCCATGTTGACTTCGCAAGAATCAACATGGACCTACTCCTTCATCTTTCTTTTCCTCGAGCACTTGATCTCCACTCATGTTTGTGCGGTACCGGCCGTCGTACTTCGGCCATAATGCAGCTTCTGAAGGGTCTCTCCGGACTATTATCGGTCGCCGAAGCTGGCGTATAAAACTAACGGGACCTGAATCGTATCTGTGATAAGACCACTTGCGACTCTCGCGCGGCGGGCTAGTTCTTCTTGCAGGCGTCCTTCTTGTCACCTGAAGCCATGGTCTTCCACATCTACGTCGGGTCGTACACAAACGAGATTTACACCCTCGCTTTTGATCCCGATGTCCCGTCGCTCACGCTGGTCTCGACACTAACCGTCGGGTTTCATCCTTCTTGGCTAACCCGACATCCCAAAGATGCGTCCGTTGTCTTCGCGGGATTGGAGCAGGCCGATGGCAAGATCGCCGCCGTCAAGTTTGACGACAAGGGACATGGAACGCTGCTCGGATCCGTGTCGAGCGGAGGAGGCTCGCCATGCACGCTTGTTGCGACAGACTCTGAGCTACTCATCGGAAACGTACGCCTTCTTTCGGCGCTCTCAATTCAATTGCCTGACCTACGAATCCCAGTACGAGACGGGCACGTTCGCCGCCATCCCTCTGTCACCGGAAGCGCCTCATTTGAATGAATCTGGACTCGCCTTGTTGTCGTTTTCTGGAACGGGACCTAACAAGGAACGCCAGGAGGGATCGCATCTCCACCAAGTCGTCATCCATCCTGATCACCAAGAATTACTCATACCAGATCTCGGCGCGGATAAAACGTGGAGATTGGCGAAGGACGGTGGTGGGAGATGGTCCTCGAAGGGTCACGTACAATACAAGGCTGGCAGCGGGCCCAGACACATTGCATTCTACAGTGCGTCCGCCGTTAATAAGCTCCTTGAAGCGTCTGCTTATCTTGTCCTGCAGACGACGTCCTTTATACGCTCCTAGAACTCACGAGCGAGCTATCGGCACATCAGTTCCCTTCCCTACCCGCGGAGCCGAAGCTACTGGCAAGCGTGCCCACAATGTCCAATTTTCCGGGTCTGCCGAGCGAGTTAGGCATGCTCGCCGCCGAGATCCTCATTCCGCCTCCGAATGCGACGTATCCCACTCCCTACCTGTACGTTTCGAACCGCAACGACCCCTCGCCCGAGGGCGACGTGATCGCCATCTTCTCAGTCGCAGACCCCGCGAAGCTTGCGCCCGCAGCAGAGGTGCGGTCGGGCTTGAACCATTTGCGTGGCATGGTTCTCGGTGGAGAGCACGACAAGTACTTAGTCGCCGGCGGGGTTTTTGGCGGCGGTGTGAAGGTCTTCCTGCGGACGGACGGCGGCAAAGGACTGAAGGAGCTTGCCTCGGTAGACTTAAAGGCACCGACAGCGTTCTTGTGGGCGTGAAGAGGTGCATGTGACGGCGGCATTTATTGGTTCTGATCCAGTGCGCGTTCCGTAATGATTTCTTGGCTACGACACCTTCCATACACAGGAATGATATTGGCGATGCTGAATAGACTCTGCTATCTAGTCTGCCGTCACCTCCAGCAACTGTTGCACACTGACAGAAATGAGGTGCGCAAGTGAACTCCGTGATGGCAAGGTTTGTCATGTGTGTATTTCGTTATCCTTGCCTTATTTATGCATCGCTATTCGTTCATTCTGCAGCTCTGATTCCTGGCTTCCTCAACAGTGTATCTAAACATCTGAGCACCCACAGTTCGCTGCCATCGAACACCTCTTAGATAGCCTGACTTGGCTTCGACTCGACTCGATGGTAAGTTCAGCTTACGGCATGGAGCGGCAGCGACGACCTTCGCGAGAAGTCACGGGTACAGGCTGGCGTGTCAGCAGAACGTCACTCGTGAATATGGGCGTCGAGCGCCCATCGCCGATTCCCCTGCATGGTGTTGTTCAGGACAGTCATAGCACTTAAGTTTGTGTTCAGGGTGAGCAGAGCTCGTAAATTCCAAGAAGAGCCCATCCATCCCATCGCGCCCGTGCACTTGCAGCCTACGCAACAGTCTGCACCATGACATCTACCGCCACAGCCATTCTCCACCCTGTGAATGCAGCATTGCTTGTTGCGCCGTCGGGTCAGCCACTTAGATTCTGGCCTGCCATGGGCGTACTACAACAGGGAGCTGCCAGCTTGTTGGCGCATGTATAATCACTGATCTTCTTGCTGTAGATGGAATATCTATGATGGCTATACGCTCTCCACACGCGTTCTACACTGTGACCGCCATGAGAGCTTCTTCAGCTCTGTGGAACCCTCATTCATTTCACAGTAATACTCAGTGGATCTGCGCAGAGCGGAGCGCACTACTCCTAGTTGTGCACGTATGTACAAAGAGAATGCACGCCCTGCCCGTGTCATGGATAATCATGACACAACAAGGTCCTTCACCGGCGCGCTATGCCCCAGAACCTGCGCTCGTAGCGCAAGCACACATGACGGCCGCAGAGTTCTTGCGTTCGTCAGCACACGTATCTGCAGCTCTGTGTCGTGTGTATCACCTGTGGACTTGTTAATCAGGTGGGGAGATACACAGAGGCAGTAGAGAGAGGGGGCAACAGTCAATGACGCACCTCTGCCCCCTATAGCTAGCCAGAGTGGTCTTGTATACCGCGTCTTCACCTGATCAAAATCTGAATCAAGACTGGATGAAGATGACCTAATTGTGTGAAGGTTATGGAGCGGTGCCGCTTTCAGACAATCAGAAGGGCCCAAGGACTGGATGAAGCAGCATAGCTGGAGAGGGGTAATTTCTAAGTATTAAATCGTATACAAACTTGTTCTACGCACCTTCAGGAGGGGGGAATTAAAAACCAAAAAATTAAAATGCGATGCTTGTGGGTTTCGACTGTGTAACTGCGAGATTGTTCGTGCCTTGGAAGCCTCACACATAGGCGCAGGGGATGCGATCAGCAGCGGGGTGCCGGTGAGGTCGAGAACGCAGCATCAAGGGAGTCGCGAAATGTGCTCGGGTGCAGTAGCGCAAGGGGCCCGGATGCAGTAGTCTCGGGTTCAATTGACGGAATCCAGGTGACCTTTGGGCGTGCGCGGTTCGGGAATCGGAATGGGAAGCAATAAGGAGCCCTGGCTGTCCCTATACGGCCTGTGCCCATCTCTGCTGACAACACCACGATGATTCAGCGAGCGAACACGGATGGCTGGGATATCAACAATGTGCCTATAATCGAGCTGCGCGGATCGTCATACGAGGTACGTGCTCTGCTCTGCCAAGCGTCTTGACGAATGTACTACTCCCCAGTCCCCAGATTGGGCATGCGCACGGCTTGCAGTTGCACGAGCAAATCCATGCTCAGCTCGTCATCTACGAGGACATATTCCAGAAGAAGTGCAAGTTCACTTGGGAGCAGGTAATATCACTTCTTGATGCGATTAAAAGAAACGAACCTCAAATGCTTGACACGCCACCCGGCAGGTCCGAGATGCAGCTAGACAGTATCAGCCTGCTATCGAGAAGCTCGCGCCGCATCTTCATGATGAGATGCGCGGAATAGTAGATGGTGTGAATGACACAGGGAACGGCAGCGGCGATGCGCTCGGTGACGCTTGGCACTTGACGCATGGCATCTCCGGACGTCACATCGACATTCTGGACGTCATTGCCCTCAACGCTCGCAGCGAGATTGCGCTGGGTCAGTTCGACGACGGGTGTACAGCCCTCGCGTGGGATGTGGATCGTCTGGTCGATGTTGAGGCGGGAACGGAGTCGCGTAGCCGGCAGCACAGGCGAATTCTCGCACAGAACTGGGACTGGCGCACCGCGGTAGGTCCCAACCTTGTTCTGGCGTCGATCAAGCAAGAAGGCAAGCCAGATATCTGGATGGTCATAGAGGTGAGGCCCCGTCACTGTCGTTTGTGACGGTTTTCTGACTGATGTGTCCGTGCAGCCTGGTATCGTTGGCAAGATTGGGTTCAATTCGGCGTCACTGGGCGTATGCCTCAATGCCATCCGCGCGAAGCCTGTAGACAAGAACCTCCTTCCAGTGCACGTCATCCTGCGTCTCCTGCTCGAGCAGACGTGTCTCACGGATGCCCTCGAACTCATCTCAACACTCGGTGGATGCGCTTCAAGCCAGCATATCCTCATCGCATCACCGTGCGGCAGCCGTAGCCTGGAATTGTCCCCGCTCGGAACGGTCTACATCACAGAGGACAGCATGGGGCTCGTCGTCCACACGAACCATTTTCTCGAGAACCACCTCGTTGAGGAGCCACCTTGGCTCTCGGGCTCACCGATTAGGCTCGAACGCGCAAAGGAGCTGTGCGCAGGGCTCGTCAAGGAGTACGGTAGGGACAAGATTAGAGAAGAGCTTTGTCCCACCGTGCTCAGGCAGCGCGTTTTCGCGGACACGCTCAACTCACCGCAGGCGATCTGCTGTGTCCCAGATCCATGCAGGGATGAAAGCATCGAGACACTGTTCAATATTGTCATGATATTCGAGGAGGGAAAAGTGCCGTATGCTGAGGTGGCGTTTGGGAGACCAGCGACGACGGACGCCAAGGTATACCGTTTGCCTTTATGATGCTCGAAGAGTACTATGTATACAATGACACAGTACACGCGGCGCCTGTCTTCTTCTTCTTATGGTACCTCCCTCTCTGCGATCGAGATACCACTGCAGTACGACACATCGACATGATTGTACCTCGAAGCGCCATTCATCGGATTTGTCAGACAAGGAGGTAGTAGTGTGATTATATTATTTTATATCGATCTTAAATTGCTCCAATGAAATGTATTCTCCGGCAGCCAACTGCACTAGTTCTAAGTCCTCGGGCGAATGTATACGGAATATGTCGCCGCCGTCGGCGAATTGCCCGTGCGCAGGACTTGCGTATGCATGGATATTCAGCTGTATGCAAGGGTGTTCAGAATGAGGCTGAGAAAGCAGCATATTTCAGCTTACAAGTAGACGGCTCGCTGCCACGGCCTCAACAGCTTGCATTGCTCTGCATAGGTGAATATGCTTGTAACCTACATTAAATAATGGGCATGAGACTTACGCGGTGAATGCATATGTCAAGGAATGCTACAACCAATCCGTTAATACGCCGTATTCGCTAAGATATCGTGCGGGCTTACTGTGTCCCACCGCCACATCACTAGGTTTAACACCGCGAAAGTAAGATTACCAGCGCATGCCAAAAAGGAGTCGCGCATCATTAGCCACTCCAAAGGAGAAGGGTTGTCTTTCGAACGCAGTACCGCAGTGAAAGTTCGCCCCAAAACGAGAGTGAAGAGCAGGCTTTCGAACACGATTTTTGGGATCCATGGTATCCATGACAGATTGCTCCGAAATTTGACATTAAAGCAGCGTTTTCCCATTGCCACCGGCGCTATAGCAAGGTCGAAAAGGTAAGTTTACACAGCAATGGCTCAGTGTGAACGGTCTGACCAGTGTTCGCTGTGATCGAAAACACGAGAAATGTTACGAAACATATCGTCAAACCAGACAGTAGTAGGAATAGTATGATGCGAAGTCTTCTGTTGCAGTGATACAGTGCATTGATACGAAGGATAAGCACGGCTAAATACTAGTGTCAGCGCCGCTTTGAAACTGTCACAAATAGTTCTTACTGGCAATTGGCACATAGAGTACCACAGAGGCCCAAGGGATAGAAGAGAGACAGATTGCACACCTTATCGGAGCCGAGAGTAAGTAATGAGACGATAGTATCGAAATCGCCGCACATCTATCAACACCTCCGAAGTGTAAGACCACCAAGTCGTTATCAGCTTGATTCAAATTGGGAGGGGCGTACCTTGTCACTTATATCTACGTTTCCCAAAGCTAGGCTAGGTCGAGATCTGCGAGTCGGATGAGGACTGGCTTGACGTACCACAAACAGACGCCATCCTAAGAGAAGGCAGATAGTAGTTAGTAACGCTCCAGAGCTCGATTATGAGAAAGCGTTGGTCGCACATTATGCTCACTAGCCTACGGAGGGTTGTTAAGCCAATCTATTTGTATTGAAGACGATTGAAGCAACTTACGACCCGTAACGACACTAGTTTTCAATACCTTGTGAGAATACCAACAGAAAGAATAACGCAAAGGAGCCATAGTACTTACACAGGCATACAAGACCCGAGCTGTCCAACTGCCGTGAATCCAGATGAAGTTTATCTGGGTCATGTTAGCATATAGCAGGCGGCACCATAGGCTGACTCGCCTCGTCGGCGAATGTTATGGCTAAGATAACGGCATGAGCGACTGCTGGAAGTGCAACAAAGAGCACTCACTCCAGTCATATATAGCGAACGCAACTGCCGCTGCTGCAAGACATGAAACCAACGTGAGTCAGCGAGCTCGAGTTGATCCGTGACGAGTCGCTTGTGGAATCACCCCATGCGTTCGCAGTGACATGAGAATCTTGGGCAACTGTCCAGTCGCTGGAGTCCTGCATTTGCGCAGCGACGAGGATCGTGCATTCTCCGACCTCCCGCCGGCACGGACGTTATGTAGCGATGATAGCTCCACGAGGGAGATCTCCGCCATGGACCAATGATTCTAGATAAATAAGCCAGATCAATGAGCCTGCCAGTGGTCGGTGCGCTCTGCCTGCAATGTCCCTGGCCGACGGTATTGGCACTTTTTGGCTCGAGCGTTTACTTGGCCGGCTCTTTCATCTAACCTTATATCTACGCTCCCGCAAACTTCATGTGACTATTCGGTGACATTAGCTCTGTCGTGTTTGCGCGAACCTCCCGAACACCCACACATTGTGCCAAGGCGCAGCTGTGAAGTTCCACGGTGGGTAGCGACGTACAAATTAGCGCCCCTCCACCTCAAGCTTGGTTCCGCTCGCTCACATGTACACCCAAGCTATAGCATAATTAGAGGTCTAGACCGCTGCCGCACAGCTACTCGCGGCTCCGCTAAGATGTAATAGGTCCTTGGGTCGTCCATGTCTTCGGATTCGAACATTCTGAGCAGCGTCACTGTCAAATATTCGAAGCACGGGCTTGCAGTCAAGTACGAACAGAAGGTAGTTTAGCCTTTACCGCTTGGGCATTTTATTAATTAGGGGTGTTCAAAGTTCGCTTTGAACGCGCTTTGGACTCGCTTTGATGGCGACTCGGAGGATGAAACGGAAACTCGAAGCGGCGCGGTTTCGGGGTGCTGAATCTCGTCGAATCTCGGTCGTCCGTTGAAGCGGCTGGGGAGCCGCTTCGCACGCTGCTTTTCGCTCGATTCACGCCCGCTTTCCAGACCAACCCGCTTCGTCCCATGCCTGACTCCCTCCTCCTCTCCCTCCCCCTTCTCCCGTGCTATTTGCATCGATTTTGTAATAGCCCCATGCACATCGAGTAGTGGCAGTGGGATCAATCTATATTCAACTTTTGCTACCTGTTTTCAGCATGTTACGATGAAAAGTGTTTCTCCATACAAGCATTTCTCGGCCGCCCCATGGTGCATACCAACGGGTAATTTTTCGGAGGCGTCTTCGCTCCCTGAGAGCATGCAGCCCCGCTACAGGTACAATAGAGTGTATATAGACCATTAGGAATGAGGCGGATGTGTCCCTCGCGCCGCCAGCAGACGTGCTCAATTCTAAAGTGGATGGGATGGGATGGGATGGTTTCGAGCCAGCACACGGTGGCTGTAGCTTTCCCGCTGATGGCGTAGATTAGCCGTGAGACATAAGTCAGAAATAGATCTGTTCCTAACCCGCCATCCCGCCCTTGAGTCCCGCTCGCTTCCAAAACAAGTAAATGTATTTGTACAAAGCAAATAGAGGCGGGAGAGGGGGGTCGAGCACCTGGTGGCCAACTCCCTGGTAAAGTGCCCGGCGCTGTCTCTAGCGTAAAGTGCACTGGAATGCGGGTTATATACTGGTTTCTGTACCAGAAATTCCTGTTGAGACAAGCAAATATCTTGAACTAATTGGTGTATTTCAGCATGTGGTTGTAGGGCCCATGGCAATTATTAGCAAGTGAGCTAAGGGTTACATGATTTCTCCTAGAGCTAATTGCATGAAGGCTTGAATGTTATTGGAGTCAACACTCGAGGTCCTTGAGATCACTGTTGTCGTCACGAGCCCTTCGTGCAACTTGTGTGCTTGTGCCCGCAGCCTGTCATGGCCTATAGGCACATGCCGGCATCATGGAACCTCCTCAAGGCACCGTTCTGTGATATTGGCCGATTTCTCTCCCTCCATTGCATAATGGACAGTGCATTACGCGAACTGTCCCCTCTACCTCACGGTCATTGTGAACAGTCTCTATTTGTCTCGTACAAATACACTTACTTGTTTTGGAAGCGGGCGGGACTCGAGGGCGGGATGGCGGGTTAGGAACAGATCTATTTCTGACTTATGTCTCACGGCTAATTTACGCCATCAGCGGGAAAGCTACAGCCACCGTGTGCTGGCTCGAAACCATCCCATCCCATCCCATCCCATCCACTTTAGAATTGAGCACGCCTAGCAGTTCGATTTTACTCCCTCGTGGTCGCCGGGGGTGTTCAAAGTCTACGCGCGCTTCAGTCGCGTTTCACTTCGTTCGAAACGACTTTCGAAGCGGTCGTGAATCGGTTTTGCGCGCGAACTTTGAACACCCCTATTCTGTGAAGTAGATACTAGTCTCTTTCAGAGACCTGATAATGGTTCGGCAGGGAGCTCCAACCCCTGACATCACTGTGTTTACCAGGATTCACATCGGCACATTGGGCGGTCAAATATAATGCATTATAATGCACCGTCGGGCATTTATAATGCGTTATAATGCGATTTTAGTGATTTTGAGTTTATAATGCAAGATAACGGACCGGATCGCATTATATTGCATTTTAATGCAATATAATCTCCGTCCCTTTTTGCCGATGCAG